ATAATTTAGGGACTGACACGTCAGTTTTTAGACCCTTCGTCTGCTTCATTCGCGCAATTACTGGAAGGAATCTCCAAGAATCACCTCAGTTTGTCTTTGCTCCTTTTCCCTTCTCTTCTTCTTCTTTCAGCGACCTCATCGCAACAAACTTTGTGCAAAATGCGAGGAAGCTACAGTTTAAAAAAGCCTCTAAGAACCATTGCATAAACCACATAATCCCCACGCCGGTGAGTCAGTTACACTAGAAACATAGGGAGTTTGATTGACAACCTAGCAGCCAATAGATAAAGAGGGAGCCTCGTTTTCTATTGGCTGTTGTTTCTCTGGCCTCACTACATCCACAGTTGATAGATTTTCGTTCTTTTTTTTTTGGTCATCATAATTACAAGGCTGCTGCTTCTCTGTAATGGTATTTTAAACTTTCATTGACAATTTGAAACAAAAAAAAAATCCTCCATACAACCTTTAAATACTAGGGATATAACGATATCCAAGTCTCGCAATACAATATTGTCACGGTATGAACCTCACGGTACGATATTTATTGCGATATTTTGTGGAGGCTAAACAACTAAAACTGTTAATATGCGACTTTTTCCTCTTAAAATGCCTTGTCAAGACTTAATCCAAAGAACTAAGACTCAAAAGTGTTAGAACTGTTATTTCTTCATGTAGTTTGCACCAAAACGAAGCAAAGGATCATGGTCTATGTAGTTCCTTTTGTCTTTTTTTTTAGCTATTGCTGCACCATAACTCTTCATTTAAGCAAAGAGACTTGTAATTCTACATCATAATATTTCGGTTATTTTTACGTCCCTGTTAAATAGCGTTAAAAGTATAATATTTAATGCTAATATCATAGGCTACAGAGGGAATTTCTTATTATAATATAGTGATATTTTATTTATACAGCGTCTTTCTAAACAAAGTTATGTTTTCTACACATGGAAACAAAATAAAATACGATGCAATGAAAATGATAAAGATAAAATCAAATATTAAATCCAAATTATTTAATCATCTAATGTAGGTTTTCTGCCGCAAATCTAACAGACACATGTCGATGTTTAACTGGTCCAAACTAGGGATGGGCATGATTAGTCGATTAATCGATAATTGATCAGAAAGGAAAGAAAAGACTTGAAAAGACTTGAAGCTCAAAGCAGATGACTTCGATTCGACTTGGACTTATGGCGCAGTGCCTCCAGACTCGACTTGGACTTGCCTGTATTTGACTTAGAACTTGACTTGGACTTGAGGTCAAAGATTTGAGACTTGCAAAACAACGACTTGGTCCCACCTCTGCTCGTTTCTCCACTTCTGCCTCGGGAGCTCAAATCGACGGGACAGCGGCTCAAATTAGTGTGTGTGACAAATACTTTCTGGTGTAAGGGGATCTCCCAAAACGCCAAATGTCGCCTGTGTCATAACCTGAGTCTTGACCCGGACTTTAATTTACTCGGAGTCGGGGTTAAACAGAGAAGAGGCTTTAGAGAAGAGGAGTTAGTCATGACATTCTTTTTAGTTCACAGACTCTGACTCCATCTCACGACTGCAGTTTCACTCATATTGACTTTCTCGTGTTATTTCAGTTTTATTACAGGATGGTTTCTGCTCAAATACCTTCTAATGTTATTCACTTAATCACAGCGTGGTACAATCTGCACTATCTGTTTCTGTAACAAACATGACACAGGACAGACTACCGTATATATCCTCAATATAATTTACTTTGACAGCTTTGTAAATTTTAATCATTTTCTTGTGCATTTTTGCATGGATTTACCTTTTTTAATTATAAAAACCTGAGTAGGATTCACCTGTAACAAGATGTCTGTGTCTCAGTTGTGGAGGTTTTTTTCACAACAATAAAATAAAAGGTTAAATTAAGTCAGTTCACGTTTACCAGAAGACGTTTGGAAACATGCGGATGACGATTTCCAGTGTAGTTACTTGTGTCGTAGAACTCGAGACCGACCTCAAGACCGTTTTTTATGGTCTTGGTGTTGTCTCGGACTCGATTGTGTTTGGACTCGGTCTTGTCTCGGTCTTGAAGCCATTTGGACTCGGTCTTGTCTCGGACTTAACCACGTTTAGACTCGGTCTTGTCAGTGCTTGGACTCAGTCTTGTCTTGATCTCGAAGTCTTTTGGACTCGGTCTTGTCTCGGTCTTGAAGGCGTTTGGACTAGGTCTTGTCTCGGTCTTGAAGGTGTTTGGACTAGGTCTTGTCTCGGTCTTGAAGGCGTTTGGACTAGGTCTTGTCTCGGTCTTGAAGGCGTCTGGACTAGGTCTTGTCTCGGACTCGACTATGTTTGGACTCAGTCTTGTCTCGGTCTTAAAGGTGCTTGGACTTGGTCTTGAAGGCGCTTGGACGTGGTCTTGTCTTAGACTCGGTCTTGTCTCGGACTCAACCACGTTTGGACTCGGTCTTGTCTCGGTCTTGTCTTGTCGGTCTTGAAGGTTTGGACTTGTCTCGGTCTTGTCTCGGTCTTGTTGGTCTTGTCTCGGTCTTGTAGGCATTTGGACTTGGTCTCGTCTCAGTCTCGAGGTCTGACACTTGACGAGTGATAAAATGGAGATATATTTATAAAAACATCGATATATTTGTGACACAATAACTGTAAAATACAAATAAATGTTGAAAATGACAAAGATCATCTCGATTTGGTCTCGATGAGCTGTGGTCTCGGTCGTGTCTCGGTATTTGCCGTTCAAAGTCTTGGTCTTGTCTCGACCCTCAGAGGTTCTTGGTCTTGTCTTGGGACCCTGTGGTCTCGGACTGGTCTTGGTCTCGATTAGTTCGGTCTTGACTACAACACTAGTTGTTCCCGACACTGGGCCTGTGATTAAACCGTGGATTCAGCAGCAGCAGCATCTTCACAACCTGCCAAAGTTTTCGTTGGGGGACGAGACTCGTATCTCGTCTTCGATTTCACTCGCAGACAGCTGGAACTGTTGATCTGTTGAACATAAGGGAACACTACAGTGACATATTATTATTTTTATATTTTTTAATTAGACAAATTATAATACGCAAATAAATATTCAGTTTAGAAATGGAAAAAAAGAATATTATGACATCTAGGCTACGTTTATATGATGACAGTCTGAACGGAAGAAGCAAAAGTGGTGCCGTGTCTTCACTTTTTATTCCGCGTCCAGACGAGTGTTTTCGGGAGGAAATCTGCGTGCATACGGTGATGCAGAAGTGTGTGGAATTCGATTGTGTTTGCGTGACAGGCGACTCGGTGGTGATGTATGTGTGGCGTAAACATGTACGCGATGTGAGCAGATCTGACCAGAGTTTTGCGTCTTGGGCAGTGTAGATGGAAACACTTTGGCCGTGCGTATTCAACTTTTCCACTCTGGAGGATGGCAGATTTTTGAGTTTTTAAGACCCCAGAACGCCGTCACCGTCTGAACAAAAGGCACTTCTGATAAAATATTTTGTTGTTTTTACCCATAAGCGTTCCCGTGCAAATAGGCCCCTAGATGAAGAAAACCAGGGCCATTCTCTCAGTTTTCCCAGATTTTATTCAGTATTTCCAACAGAGCCCAAATGAAGTCGTCATCCGAATGTTTTCACACGTCTTCCGGTCTTGTGGCGTAAACTTGAATAGAGCCCACTCATCTCCAAAAGTGACTGGTGTAAATAGTGTGGTTGACTATAGAGGATTTTCCAAGGAACGAGAAATCCAGCGACTGTTTGTCCTTTTTCAAATGTTGCGCATGCGTGAAACCACCTCCCCTCCCCCACAGCTCCTACGTAGAAACACCTCCTCCCTCCTCCTCCTTACGCCAGAAACAGGTTTGTTTACAGCTGCTGCACATGACTTGTAAACAACTAACTACAGTGTTGGTTAGACAAGACGGAGAAGTGAGGAGCGGGGGGAGCGGGTGTGCGGACATTTCGTTCGCGGACGAGAAGTGAGGAGCAGGAGAAGAGCGGAGCAGGGAGAGAGGAGAGGAGAGAGAGAGAGGAGAGGAGAGGAGGAGAGGAGAGAGAGAGAGAGGAGAGGAGAGGAGAGAGAGAGAGGAGAGAGAGAGAGAGAGGAGAGAGAGAGGAGAGAGAGAGAGAGAGAGAGAGAGAGAGGAGAGGAGAGAGGAGAGAGAGAGAGGAGAGAGAGAGGAGAGAGAGAGAGGAGGAGCGGTGTGCGGAGATTCCGTGCCCGGAGAAGTGAGGAGCAGGGAGAAGAGTGGAACGGGCAGCGGGGACAGGAGCAGGAAAGGGGAGCAGAGAAGGTTGCGCGGAGATTCCGTGCGAATGAACTAGCTACAACACGCAGCAGCAAGCGGACTCTTTCTTTGCCTTGAAAATTACGTTTTCAGACATAGGATATCGCTTTTGTGTCCTGAAAAACGTTTGTCCAGCTCTTGGAAATAAAGTATGTTTTCATAATAAGCAGAAGTTTCCTGTCCAGGAGTAATTTGTGGACCAGTGGTTCAGTCTTTAGACCCTTCGTCTGCTTCAGTTGCGCCATCGCTGGAATGAATCTTCAAGAATCACCTTAGTTTGGCTTCGCTGCTTTTCCCCTTGTCTTCTTCTTTCAGCGACCTCAAAAACAGACTTTCTTTTGCGGCGAACTGCTCCTGGATTCTTGTCGCCATTGCAACAAACTTTGTGCGAACTGCGATGAAGATATAGGTCAAAAAAAGCCGCTAAGAACTGTTGCGTTGGTGGAGTAAACAGCGTCTGTGCGTCTTGCGTCTGTGGACTGTGTGACAGTCGTACGTAAACCACGTACCGGCGGCGCAGGCAAGTCAGTTACACTAGAAACGTAGGGAGTTTGATTGACAGCCTGTCAGCTCACAGATAACGAGGCAGTGTCGTTATCTATTGGCAAATGTTTAGCCCCACCACGTCCAGAGTTGATGAATTTTTATTCTCTTTTTTTTGGTCATCATAATTACAAGGCGACTGCATCTATAATCTATCACTGACAATTTGAAACAAAAAAAATCCTCCATACAACCTTTAAGTACGTCTTTATCTCTGCAGCTGGCCCGTGTCGCTTCGCCTGTCTGAACGGAGGCCAGTGCGTGAACTCAGAGTCGTGTGATTGCAGTCTGTACCAGGCCACGGGACACAGGTGTCAGACAGGTAAGGCCCCGCCCACTTTACGCACAGGTAAAACAACACCACAATACTCCTTTCACTGTATTTAGTTCATCTTTCATTTAATGCAGTCTTTTTTAAATTAAATCAGTTCTTTAAACCAGATGAATTTGTTGTGTGTCAGTGCCGAACCAGGGCTTTGAGCGGGAGATGACCTGCAGGAGCTGGGGCCAGTACAACTTTGAGACTTTCGATGGACTTTACTTCCACTTCCCTGGACGCTGCACCTACACCCTCCTCCGAGACTGTGAGGAGGGCCCTGGAGTCACTGTGCAGGTACTCTGAGAGAGACCGGGTTTAGACCGGGTTTAGACCGGGTTTAGACCGGGTTTAGACCGGGTTTAGACCGGGTTTAGACCTGGTGTAGACTGAGTTTTGACCTGGTTTAGACCTGGTTTAGACCTGGTTTAGACCGGGTTTAGACCTGGTTTAGACCTGGTTTAGACCGGGTTTAGACCGGGTTTAGACCTGGTTTAGACCTGGTTTAGACCTGGTTTAGACCGGGTTTAGACCGGGTTTAGACCTGGTTTAGACCTGGTTTAGACCGGGTTTAGACCTGGTTTAGACCTGGTTTAGACCGGGTTTAGACCTGGTTTAGACTGGATTTAGACCTGGTTTAGACCTGGTTTAGACCTGGTTTAGACCTGATTTAGACCGGGTTTAGACCTGGTTTAGACCGGGTTTAGACCGGGTTTAGACTGGGTTTAGACCTGGTTTAGACCGGGTTTAGACCTGGTTTAGACCGGGTTTAGACCTGGTTTAGACCGGGTTTAGACCTGGTTTAGACCTGGTTTAGACTGGATTTAGACCTGGTTTAGACTGAATTTAGACCTGGTTTAGACCTGGTTTAGACCTGGTTTAGACTGGATTTAGACCTGGTTTAGACCTGGTTTAGACCTGGTTTAGACCGGGTTTAGACCTGGTTTAGACCTGGTTTAGACTGGATTTAGACCTGGTTTAGACCTGGTTTAGACTGGATTTAGACCGGGTTTAGACCTGGTTTAGACCTGGTTGTTTAGACTGACCTGACATTATATTTGGATTTTGGTTTTAACACATTTGCCACGTTTACATGAGAGTTTTAATTCCAAATAAAAATTATTTAAGTCTGAATAAAAATTAATTCTGCTTTAAAAAGACCACAAAACAACCAATGAAAATTAATTCAGTTTTTAATTTTGTGTTTAAATGAAAAATGGAAAAAACGGATAACGACCGTATCCCGTTTACATGACTTGAACTGTGATGCTGGACTGAACCAGGACTAAAACGGGACTGGGACCAGGACCAGGACCAGGACTGAGACTGGGTCCAGACCAAAACTGAAACCAGGGCTGAGATCGAGAACAGGACGAGGAGTGAGATTGTGACTAAGACTGAGACTGAGACTGAGACTGGGACTGAGACCGGGACTGAGGCTGGGACCAGACCAGGACCAGGCTGTGACTGAGACCAGGACTGAGACCGGGACTGAGACTGGGACCAGACCAGGACCAGGCTGTGACTGAGACCAGGACTGAGACCGGGACTGAGACTGGGACTGAGACTGGGACCAGACCAGGACCAGGCCGTGACTGAGACCAGGACTGAGACCGGACTGAGACCGGGACTGAGACCGGGACTGAGGCTGGGACCAGACCAGGACTGGAAATGGTTTTGTCATGGTTTAATCCTGTTTCCGTCCTAGTTCAGTCCGTATGCGGTGCAAAAGTCCGGCGTCGCAGTTTAAATCACATAAACGGGAAACGGTCGTTATCCTTTTTCTTTTTTTCAATTTTTCATTTAAACACAAAATCAAAAACTGAAAAAACAAATCATTATCCTTTTTTTTCATTTTGGTTTTGGGGACAAATAATGAAGAAAATAGTTGTTTTTCATTTTCTTATTTTTGGTTTTACTTTGAAAAAACGAATGAACGGTACACGGATTTACTTCTTTCCATCATCGCATCACATTTTTTGTTTTTTTTTATTTTTGGTTTTATATTGAAAAATGAATGAATGAATGGATTGAAGTACTTAAGTTTATTGTTAGAATGTTTACGGTCAAATTTTAAATGTGTATAATAGTCTGGACCCTGGTCTGAGCTGTGACTGTGCCGAGAGAGTTTTCCCAGTGTAATTTCGGGCATATCAATGATACTATTTACTGTGACTGTGCATTATTAGAGGCACATATTAAACCGTGTTGTGTGGAAACAGCCTGTTAGCTGTTAGCTGATCTGCTCAGATTAGGCCACTTTCTGAGATTAGAGTCAATTACATTAAACCCCAGAGAATCCACTGAAGACCGGACCAACAGAGCAGAACCGAGTCCTGGACCGGGACCAAAACCAGACTCTGAGGGATTTAGAGTCACTGCAGGAGAGATGCACTGACCCCAGACCTGCCACCTGTGTCCTCAACTGAACCCACAGCTTATATAAGAGATAAAAACGTAAGATTATTTAACGTGCACTGGTTTGTTTGTACTGGGAAAATGAATTCTGAGCTGCCGATTTCCAAAAGGTCCTTGTTTTTTTTCGCGTTTAAAGTTGTGTAACGGCTGCGGAATCTTCGTCAGGCCGCGTACGAAGGCTGGGACACAGTGTGGAGTCAGTCCGTTTCAGTCCTGTGGTTTGTGTTTTTCAGGTTCATAATGATCCAGACTGTGGCTCGTCCTACAGCTGCCGTCGCTCCGTCAGTCTGTTCATGAACTGGGACGGAGAGATCAGGCTCAACGCTCACAACGTCACTTTTAAAGGAGAACGGTGAGTTTTAGCGCAAATAAAACTAGATACGAGGTTTCCCAGACGAGATGGAACCCCAAACTACGGCTTACACAGGAGTAGGGATGGGCACGATTAGTCGACTAATCGATAACTGATCATTAATAATTTTGTCGATCACGTTCATTTTTAATTGTGTAAAGAGATGAGGCTGCGTCTGACACAAACACTGGAGTCTCATGTTTGGGCTCTGGCTCCTTGGAGACTCTGTTCCTCTCTGTGAGTGTGTTTACAGCACATCAGTGTCCCGGGTTTGATCGGGTTTTTGGAGTGTCCCGGTTTCGTCATGGTGCATGTAAACGCGGTATAAAGTTGAGTCACATGCGTCGAAAAGACAAACACGTTCAGTCTTTTCTTCACAACAGGAGCCAAAATAAATAAAGTGACTAGGGCTGTCGCAATAATCGCAAAAATGAATCACCGCGGTACTAAGAGGCCCACCGCGGACCAACGTGACCAACGGGACCAACGTGACCGACCCAGAGTCCTGAACGGGTCAATTTTTAGAGACCTGCACCCGCCCGGACCTGGAAACATTCCACCCGTTACCGCCCGTGCCCAGGACTAACCCAGGACTAACCAAGGACTAACCAAGGACTAACCCAGGACTAACCCAGGACTAACCAACGAAACTAACCCAGGACTAACCCAGGACTAACCCAGGACTAACCAACGACTAACCCAGGACTAACTAAGGACTAACCCAGGACTAACCCAGGACTAACCCAGGACTATCCAAGGACTAACCCAGGACTAACTAAGGACTAACCCAGGACTAACCCAGGACTAACCCAGGACTAACCAGGACTAACCAGGACTAACCCAGGACTAACCAAGGACTAACCAATAACAACTAACCCAGGACTAACCAGGACTAACCAAGGACTACCCAGGACTAACCAAGGACTAACCAGGACTAACCAGGACTAACCAAGGACTAACAAGGACTAACCAAGGTAACCAACTAACCAGGACTAACCAAGGACTACCCAGGAAACCAGGACTAACCCAGGATAACTAAGGACTAAACCAAGGACTAACCCAGGACTAACCAAGGACTAACCAGGACTAACCAGGACTAACCAAGGACTAACCCAGGACTAACCCAGGACTAACCCAGGACTAACCAAGGACTAACCCAGGACTAACCCAGGACTAACCCAGGACTAACCAAGGACTAACCCAGGACTAACCCAAGGACTAACCCAGGACTAACCAGGACTAACCAAGGACTAACCAGGACTAACCAAGGACTAACCCAGGACTAACCCAGGACTAACCAAGGACTAACCCAGGACTAACCAAGGACTAACCCAGGACTAACCCAGGACTAACCTAACCAAGGACTAACCCAGGACTAACCAAGGACTAACCCAGGACTAACCCAGGACTAACCAAGGACTAAACCCAGGACTAACCCAGGACTAACCAAGGACTAACCCAGGACTAACCCAGGACTAACCCAGGACTAACCCAGGACTAACCCAGGACTAACCAACGACTAACCCAGGACTAACCCAGGACTAACTAACCCAGGGACTAACCAGGACTAACCAGGACTAACCCAGGCTAAGGACTAACCCAGGCTAATACCAGGACTAACCAGGACTAACCAAGGACTAACCCAGGACTAACCCAGGACTAAGGGGCGCCCGTGAAGACCGTCAGGTGACCGCAGTCGAAAGGACCGGCACAGAGCTCCACATGCACAGAGTTAAGTGCAGCTGTTGCTCTATCGCGCTTTGCGGACACCTGCTCCGTGTGCTCGTGCTTGGGGTTCTCTCTCTCTGAAGTCCGCGGGTACCCGACCTGGAGCAGGACTCTGACCCGACCTGGAGCAGGACTCTGACCCGACCTGGAGCAGGACTCTGACCCGACCTGCTACAGTGAGAGCTAGAGCGACGCAGCGACACTTGTTCCAAAGCCAAATGTTTCTTCTCTCACACTAAACACACTATATCCACACGACAACCAAAGTACATGTGCATCTGTAACAAGTGCATCATCAGAAAGTTTTCAGAGCCGCTGGAAATATTATAACACCAGGGGATGTGGGGTGGGGGAGGAGGTGCGGTGTCATCACATACCGCGCTGTTGAGCCGCTAAACCAAACCGCGACAGCCCTAAAAGTGACCAACATAAATAAAGTGAGTGAAATGAAATAAATAAAGCATACAGCAAACGGAAGCTGAACCGCATCAGCGCACAAGGAAAGAGCAGTTTTTATCAGAGTTTATAGTTTATGCAAATGAGTCATGTGGTTTTAAGTTTTGTTTCTGTAAAACGTAAACAAACATGTGTCAAATCTGCATTAAACACATGATAATGTCAAACGGGCTGATGTGGCTCTAGAGTGTTTATGGTTTTTATGTTGAAAACTTGAGTTTATTTATGCAGATTAGTAATAGTAATAATAATGATCATTTTAATATAAAAACATGAATGATTAATCGTGAATCAATTGTTAATTTTCCCGACGATCGATTAAGAAAATGTAATTGAATGCCCATCCCTGCACAGGACAAAACTCCCACAGCTTTTTGTGTGGAGCAGGTTTCTCTGCTCAAACAATCGAGTTTAACTTAAAATAGTTTCCTCATCTCATTTACCCGCGGCTCTGGGATTTGGATTTGCCAAGTGATTTCGTGCAAATGAACAAAAACTCCAGTTGCAGGTGTGAACAATGGAGGAAATCTGTGCTGCAGTTTTTTAAATAAGTTGTTTTAAATGAATATAACATAATAACAGTGTTGGGGAGTAACAGATTACATGTACCAGAGTTAAGTAATCAGAGTACAAATTATGAGTAACTGTATTCAGTTACAGTTACTGTTTCAGTGAGTGGTAATTGGATTACAGTTACTTTGTTGAAATAAATGGATTACACGGCGGGATTTTCCTGTTTTCACATTTTGGGCTATTCCGTTTTTTGTTTTGTTTTGTTTGGTAATTCCACTTATTACTGGACACTAAACCAACTCTAAACCAGGTCTAAACCAGGTCTAAACCAGGTCTAAAACCAGGTTTAAACTAGGTCTAAACCAGGACTAAACCAGGACTAAAGCAGGACTAAAGCAGGACTAAAACCAGGTCTAAACCAGGACTAAACCAGGATTTAACAGGACTAAATCATGCTGCGTGGACGTGTCTCCTCGTCTTCTACCAATAATATTTTTTTATTTGGTTAAGTAAAGTCTGGGCTTTTTATTTTCTTTTATCAGACAAAATATCTTATGTGAAGATTTCCTCGTCTTTGCTTCTCTACAGTAAATCAAGTAATCCAAAGTATTCAGATTACGTTACTCACTTTAAGTAATTTAATGGATTACGTTACAAACTACATTTTGGTGTGTGTAATCTGTAATTTGTAAGGGAATTACATTTTAAAAGTCACCTTCCCAACACTGCATAATAATGATCGATGGTTGTCGTAGATTATAACTGTGTAGGGTTATAATCGAAAATCAGACACGAGTCGATGCTGCTGTGTTCAGACTGGAGCTCCCTCACCACATCCACGACCTGATGCTGGAGCAGATCTCAGATTACGTGTTGGCGACGCAGCACGGCTTCACTCTGGCCTGGGACGGACTCCGAGGCTCCGTCTACATCAAACTCAGCCCCGAGTACGTGAGCCGCACCTGTGGGCTCTGCGGGAACTTCAACGCCGACGCGCAGGACGATCTACGCACCAGCTACGGTAGAAAAAAAACCAAAAAAAACATCTTCTCTGGAACTTCTGCTCCATCTGACCCTCTCCTCTGGAACTTCTGCTCCATCTGACCCTCTCCTCTGGAACTTCTGCTCCATCTGACCCTCTCCTCTGGATCTTCTGCTCCATCTGACCCTCTCCTCTAGATCTTCTGCTCCATCTGACCCTCTCCTCTGGATCTTCTGCTCCATCTGACCCTCTCCTCTAGATCTTCTGCTCCATCTGACCCTCTCCTCTGGAACTTCTGCTCCATCTGACCCTCTCCTCTGGATCTTCTGCTCCATCTGACCCTCTCCTCTAGATCTTCTGCTCCATCTGACCCTCTCCTCTAGATCTTCTGCTCCATCTGACCCTCTCTGCTCTTCTCTCTGACCTCTCCTCTGCTCTTCTGACCTCTCCTCTCTGCATCGTCTTCTTCATCTGACCTTCTCCTTTGCAACTTTTACTCCATCTGACCCTCTCCTCTGGATCTTCTGCTCCGTTTGACCCTATCCTCTGATCCATCTGACCCTCTCTTCTACATCTTCTGCTCCATCTGACCCTTTTCTCTGCATCTTTTACTCATCTGACCCTCTCCTCTCTCTGGACTCTGCTCTCATCTGACCTCTCCTCTGCATCTTTTTTCCATCTGACCCTCTCCTCTGATCTTCTGCTCCATCTGACCCTCTCCTCTAGATCTTCTGCTCCATCTGACCTCTCCTCTAGCTGCTATCTGACTCTTCTGCATCTCTTCTTATCTGACCTTTTCTCTGCATCTTTTACTCCATCTGACCCTCTCCTCTGGAACTTCTGCTCTCAGACTCTCCTCTGGATCTTCTGCTCCATCTGACCCTCTCCTCTAGATCTTCTGCTCCTCTGACCCTCTCCTCTGATCTTCTGCTCATCTGACCTCTCCTCTGATCTTCTGATCTCTGACCCTCTGATCTTCTGATCCATCTGACCTCTCCTCTAGATCTTGTGATCCATCTGACCCTCTCCTCTAGATCTTCTGCTCCTCTGACCCTCTCCTCTGCATCTTCTGCTCCATCTGACCCTCTCTCTGCTCCATCTGACCCTCTCCTCTGGAACTTCTGCTCCATCTGACCCTCTCCTCTGAACTTCTGCTCCATCTGACCCTCTCCTCTGCATCTTTTACTCCATCTGACCCTCTCCTCTGATCTTTTCCTCCATCTGACCCTCTCCTCTGCATCTTTACTCCCATCTGACCCCCTCCTCTAGATCTTTCTGCTCTCCCTCTGACCTCTCTCCTCTCCTCTGGAACTTCTGCTCCATCTGACCCTCTCCTCTGGAACTTTTGCTCCATCTGACCCTCTCCTCTGCTTCTGCATCTGACCCTCTCCTCTGCATCTTCTGCTCCTCTGACCCTCTCCTCTGCATCTTTTACTCCATCTGACCCTCTCCTCTGGAACTTCTGCTCCATCTGACCCTCTCCTCTGGAACTTCTGCTCTGCTCTTTGACCTCTCCTCTCTTCTGCCCGTCTGACCTCTCGCATCTTTTACTCCATCTGACCCTCTCCTCTGAACTCTGCTCTGACCCTCTCCTCTGCTCTCCTGCTCCATCTGACCCTCTCCTCTGGAACTTCTGCTCCATCTGACCCTCTCCTCTGCATCTTTTACTCCATCTGACCCTCTCCTCTGGATCTTCTGCTCCGTTTGACCCTATCCTCTGATCCATCTGACCCTCTCTTCTACATCTTCTGCTCCATCTGACCCTTTCCTCTGCATCTTCTGCTCCATCTGACCCTCTCCTCTAGATCTTCTGCTCCATCTGACCCTCTCCTCTGCATCTTCTGCTCCTCTGACCCTCTCCTCTGCATCTTTTTCCTCCATCTGACCCTCTCCTCTGCATCTTCTGCTCCATCTGACCCTCTCTTCTACATCTTCTGCTCCATCTGACCCTCTCTCTACTCTTCTGCTCCATCTGACCCTCTCCTCTGCATCTTTGCTCTCTGACCCTCTCCTCTGCATCTTCTGCTCCTCTGACCCTCTCCTCTGCATCTTCTGCTCCATCTGACCCTCTCCTCTGGATCTTTTACTCCATCTGACCCTCTCCTCTGGATCTTCTGCTCCGTTTGACCCTATCCTCTGATCCATCTGACCCTCTCTTCTACATCTTCTGCTCCATCTGACCTTCTTCTCTCTGATCTTTTACTCCATCTGACCCTCTCCTCTGGAACTTCTGCTCCATCTGACCTTCTTCTCTGGATCCTTTACTCCATCTGACCCTCTCCTCTGCTCCTCTTTTGTTCAAATTCTTGTCCTCTTTCATTACACCTATAAATCTCCATCTGTCTTTGGTCTTCCTCCTTCCCAGCAGCTCTAACGTCAGCGTCCCTCTGCCCACACCTGCACAATCCTGAAACTAAACTTATAAAACACTCGCAAGATGAATATAAAAACCAAAGTATATTTAAAATCTCTGTTAACTTATAAAAGTAATTTGATTAGAAACATATACTTTTGAAATTGTGCCTAAAATTTCAGTTAGTATTGGTTCTGGTCGTGGTATTAAATGTGTTTTAGATTTTTTTTTTCCACTTTAAAATGTTCAAAATGTTATGAAAAATTGACTCGAGCCTCTTCATTCTTGGACCAGTTTCGTTTCACTTTTTTTTTAACGTCTTTTTCCTTTAAACATTTCCTTCAGGCGTGCCCACGGAGGAGATCGAGATGTTCGGGAACAGTTGGCAGGAGGTGGAGCCAGACGAGTCCAGGTGTCCCATCGTGTCTCCAGGATTCACCTCCCCCTGCTCTGGAGTCCCGGACCATGTACTGCAGGCAAGTCCTAGTCCTGGACCTGGTTTGGATCTGGATTAGACCCGGTTCAGTCATTATTTTCAAACCAGCTCTGTTTATATTTGTTTATTACTATACTGACCATTTCTTTAACGTTAAAAAGACATGATTTGTGCTTTTTTTTTTTTTTTTTTTTTTTTTTTTTAGACCTGGTTTAGTCCTTGTTTAGTTCTTGTTTAGTCCTAGTTTAGACCTGGTTTAGTCTTGGTTTAGACCTTATTTAGACCTGGTTTAGAGCTGATTCAGACATGGTTCAGACATGGTTTAGACCTGGTTTAGTTCTAGTTTAGGCCTGGTTTAGTCCTGGTTTATATCTGGTTTAGACTTGGTTTAGACATGGTTTAGTCCTCATTTAGATCTGTGTTTGACTTGGTTTATTCCTGTAGACCTGGCTTAGATTTGGTTTAGACATCGTTTAGTCCTGGTTTAGACCTGGTTCAGTCCTGGTTAAGACCTGGTTTAGACCATAATTAGACCTGGTTTAGGCCTGGTTTAGACCTGGTTTAGTTTTGGTTTAGAGCTTATTTAGACCTGGTTTAGACCATAATTAGACCTGGTTTTAGACCATAATTAGACCTGGTTTAGACCTGGTTTACACTTGGTTTAGACCTTATTTAGGCCTGGTTTAGACCTGGTTTAGACCGGGTTTAGACCTGGTTTAGTCTTGGTTTAGACCTTATTTAGACCTGGTTTAGACCTGATTTATTCCTGGTTTATTCTTGGTTTAGTCTTGGTTTAGACCTGGTTTAGACCTTATTTAGACCTGGTTTAGTCCTGGTTTAGACCTGATTTAGACCTGGTTTAATCTTGGTTTAGACCTTATTTAGACCTGGTTTAGACCGGGTTTAGTCCTGGTTTAGTCTTGGTTTAGACCTTATTTAGACCTGGTTCAGTCCTGGTTAAGACCTGGTTTAGACCATAATTAGACCTGGTTTAGGCCTGGTTTAGACCTGGTTTAGAGCTTATTTAGACCTGGTTTAGATCTGGTTTAGACCTGGTTTAGACCATAATTAGACCTGGTTTAGGCCTGGTTTAGACCGGGTTTAGACCTGATTTAGTCCTGGTTTAGACCTGATTTAGTCCTGGTTTAGACCTGATTTAGTCCTGGTTTAGACCTGATTTAGTCCTGGTTTAGACCTGGTTTAGTCCTGGTTTAGACCTGGTTTAGTCTTTGTTTAGAGCTGATTTAGACCTTTTGTAACCTTATGTTGTTAGAGCCTTTTAATAAAGTAAGTTTGTGATTAGACCTGGTTTATTTGTAGTCTAGACCTGGGTGATCATGGTTTAGGTCTGTTTACACCCGGTCCAGTGTAGACCTGGTTTTGTCTTGGTTCAGTTCTGGTTTAGACATAATTTAGGCCTTGTTTGGTTCTTTTTAACCCCGTCGTCTTCTGTCCTTGTCCACAGAAAGTCCATGAGGTGTGCTCTCTTCTGCTGGAGCCTCCGTTCTCAGACTGTCATGAGTTTGTGAGTCCTCTGTCCTACATGGCCTCCTGCACCAACGACCTCTGCCTGTGAGACGTGGTTTTACTTTCTCATTTTTTTGTTTTGATTTAGTTTTAACTCTTTCCCCCCTGGACGCCGACTAGGAACAACCCATACATATGTTACTAGTTCTGCCCATAGAGCATAATTGCATAAAAGAAAACAGACTTCCACGAGTGATTATAAATGATTTTTACACTCATGAACTTAATTGTAACACAGACATATTTGTATCTCTGGAAACTTTAGACTCTGAACTCTTCATTTCTGGATGTTTAAATGTGATTCAACTCATTTACAGGTGTATAACAGCTCACTGAAAATGAGAGTTTACCTGGTCAGGTGCAAAATCGAAAAACAAAAAACTACATTCAGCATCTGATATCTGCATGTTCTGAGTAATATATTCATAAAAAAATAAAAAATATACTTTGTCAAAGTATTTAAACAGATTTCATATCACCAGATACAGTAAAGCCAAGTGTTCACCTGTTTTTACCTGTTGTTCACCTGTGTGCACCTAATTCATTTTTTCCATTTAGCTTATTCAACTTATTTAATTTATTCAACTCATTTAGCTTATTATAATATAATAATATAATAATAAAACTCTTCCCCGTCAGTGTGTGTCCAGTATTTGTCATCTTGGTTATTTTCTCAGGTGCAGAGCTCCACATAAGCGTTTTTTCTGTAGTGATTCTGTTATACATCGCATCTTGGAAAAAAAAGACTGAAATATTTTAAAGGACTCGGGCAACATCCAGATTTCAGGGCAATTTTGGTTCATAATCGAGTATAAAGCTCAGATAGTTTGTTTGGATACTGCAGGACTCCACACAGACGCATCAGCGGCATCTGACTGTTAGGTTTATCTAGACATTCAAAACAAGAAGAAAGACAAGAGATTAATTAAGTTTTTCTCATGAGGAGAACGGGCAGAGAGTGGCATCAAGAGCAACAGTCTCCACACGTTCTGCCGACCCAAGGCCGTTCTCCTCCTTTTATTATCATTAGAGGGCCCTGGTTACAGACACATGATTCTCAAAGGGAAGGGGATTAGCAAAACACAACGCAGGCTTAAATCATAAAACATGATTAACAATCAGGGGGTGCCGTTGGTATGGACAGACACCGTCATAACTCTTGCAAGTGTGACAGTGGGGGTTGGCTTCACGTGAGAGGTCATCTCAGGGTTCACAAGAACGATAGGCCACTGCACACAGGTGTTAAACACAAGAGAGATTATTCACATTCCTTACAATTGATTGGTACACTCTAAATCAAAGAATTGTAGTACATAAATGGTTAACACATAGTCTAGATTAACACACAAGCATTTAGCAATATGGGATAAAAGAATTATTCTAACACTGACCTTCTCCCCGAAAGTCCGTCACTGTCGCTGTTTTCCACTTTATAATCAACTTCATCATCACTTTGAAATCTATAAAAGTCACTTTCTCTAAACTTATCCATAAAACACGTCCGCTCCTCATTATTTCTAAAACTGTGCGCTGCAGCACCGCGATCTTTCCATTGCACGTGTTTCGTGTTGTTTTTTTACGGAAGCTACCATCGTCACTATTTCGATTAACCTCGGAAAAAATCGGCGAAAACATATCCTTGAATCCTATTGGTCAGTCTAGTGTGGGTTGTAGTGGCCCCACCGATCACAGTCTCTGTTTAAATGTGAAAAACCGAGCCGTTTCTAAAGGTCGTCAAATCACGTCTTTAGTGATACAGCGGAGGAGTCAAAAGTCGTCATTAAGGAAACAGGGGGTCGTCAAATGTCGTCTTCATGGGGGAAAGAGTTAACAGTTATTCCTAGTCCTTTTTTTCCATTAGATTCCCATTTTGATCCTTTTCCAATCTTATTTTATTAAACGGGACATAACTTGAGACTCTGAGTCGTGCACGTAGAGTTAAAAAATGTCCTGTAGCCGTTTTTAGACATTTAAAACAGTTGTGCTGATCTGAACAGGAAATCAGTGAACCAATCAGATCAATGCTGTGATTTACATTGAACAAAATGTAAATAAATGATCTACACACAGGATATATCATAAAAAACCTGACGTGTGTTCTCTTCCTGCAGGTCTGGTCCTGTGGATGAGATGTTGTGTTTGGTGCTGAGTGAATACGCTCGAGCCTGTGCCCACGCAGACCACCCCCTGCACCACTGGAGACAGACCTTCCCTCTCTGTGGTAACGTGTCAGATGCCCTCCCATCCTCCTGTATCCCTCTGTGTCAGATCTCCCCCTTTATTGAAAGAGATGGGAGCAAATAAAATATGTACATTTAATCTGCGAGTTTGTTGATGGGGTTCGGTAAATAAATGACCTGATCTAGTCTGATCTCTGAAGCTAAGCAGCGTTAGACCCGGTTAGTTCTGCCGTAGGAGCTGGGAATGACAAAGGGCATCCTCCCATCTTCCCAGTGACACTTCACTCACTTTTCCTCAAATGCTGAAGTATGAAGTATGAATAAGAGTGTGTTTGAGCGAGCAACTGATGGACATTAGGTACAGTCTAGTTTGTTTATGGCATGTATGTTCTTAACAACCCAAAAACATGCTGCATATGTCTCCATGAACACTCACCACATTGCCTAGTATGAAAGTGGTGTGTGTGAGTGATGGTGGTGGTCGGAGGGACCGATGGCGCCGATTGGCATGGCAGCCGCACTTCTGTCAGTCTGCCCCAAGGCAGCTGTGGCTACAATAGTAGCTTACCACCTTATCACTTAGCTTATCACCAGGTATAGAGTGAATGAATAATGCTGAATCATGCTCTGTAAAGCGTCTTTGGGGACAGAAAATGTCTGTGAAAAGCGCTATAGAAATAAAGACTTACTTACTTAACATGATCACAGATCATTTTCACATTTTTGAATATTCTTTTTGAATGTTTATTTTACACATTAACATAAATACAAAGGATCCTGTCTCCTCGGCTCCTCTGAGAGAAGAACCTCAGCTCAGTGTGCCGTCTGGAAACAGTTTTTTTAGACATTATCTGTCACTTCTCCTGTTGTGTTTCGTCCTCACTGAGACGGCTGTGCTCAATGATGCAAAGAGAATCATTCATGCTTTTAACGCCGCCCTCTGGTGGTCAGTAGAGTTTCATAGAACCATAGTTACATTGGTAACTGTGTCCCTCAGAGAGGCCCTGTGCCTCAGGTCTTCAGTGGAGAGAGTGCATCAGCTGCTGCCCTCAGACCTGTCGTCAGGAGAAGAACTGCATCGACAGCAGACTCGCCTGTGTGGACGGCTGCTACTGCCCAGAAGGTACTGCCTCTTTAGACCTGGTTTAGACCTGGTTCAGACCTGGTTTAGACCTGGTTTAGACCTGGTTCAGACCTGGTTTAGACCTGGTTTAGACCTGGTTCAGACCTGGTTCAGTCCTGGTTCAGACCTGGTTTCCTCTTGTCTCCTCAGGCCTGGTTCTTGAGTCTGGGTCGTGTGTGCTTCCGTCTGAATGTCCCTGTGAACACCACGGCCTGATGTACCCGTCAGGACACACGCTGGACGACCGCTGCAACTCCTGGTCTGTCACATTGGAAACAACACATTTAAAGATCCACTGTGTAACTTTTCTGTTGGAGGATACGCCGCCTGTTTGTCTCCATGGAGAAGTTATTGCTTCTCTTTGAATGTTCCACAGTTTGGCCGTTAAACATCTGTCAAAAATACCTTGAAAATCTTAAGTGATAACATCTCCATGGAGACGATCAGGTGACGGACTCTATCACAAATGTTTCATAGTGTATCTTTAAGTTGATAGTTTTGGTTTGTGTCTTCTGGTGCACATACCTTCCTCAGTCCGGTCTCTTATTGGGTTTAATCAGTGTTATCTGACCTCCATCGCCCCGTCACACCTGTAAATACCTGTAAATACCTGTGCTGTGTTGCAGTACCTGTGTGGGCGGAGTCTGGAACTGCACCGACTACACCTGTCCAGGTGAGTCCCTGTGGACCGCTCTGTGCCAAAGTCCAGACTACTCTTTAGAACCGGACCCCAGTGAGAGGCTTTGTGTAGGAGCTGTAGTAAGAGCAGGAATTCAGACAACAATTCAAGACCTGCAGGGTTTAAAGTCTGCAAGTTTAGACCTGGTTTAGACCTGGATTAGATCCTGGTTTAGACTTCCTGGTTTAGACTTCGTTTAGACCTGGTTTAATTCTTATTTAGACCTGGTTTAGTTCTTGTTTAGAGCTGGTTTAGACCTGGTTTAGAGCTAGTTTAGACCTGGTTTAGGTCTTGTTTAGAACTGGTTTAATCCTGGTTTAGACCTGGTTTAGACCTGGTTTAGACCTGGTTTAATTCTTGTTTAGACCTGGTTTAGTTCTGGTTAAGTTCTCGTTTAGAGCTAGCTTAGACCTGGTTTAGACCTGGTTTAGAACTGGTTTAGAGCTGGTTTAGACCTGGTTTAGAGTTAGTTTAGAGCTGGTTTAGACCTGGTTTAGTTCTTGTTTAGACCTGGTTTAGACCTGGTTTAGACCTGGTTTAGGTCTTGTTTAGAACTGGTTTAATCCTGGTTTAGACCTGGTTTAGACCTAGTTTAGAGTTAGTTTAGAGTTAGTTTAGAGCTGGTTTAGACCTGATTTAGAGCTGGTTTAGAGTTAGTTTAGAGTTAGTTTAGACCTGGTTTATCCCTTGACTATGTAGAATTTGATGGTGATTCTCCGGTCTCCAGACACAGTCCTGCACCTAGTGGCGGTTTTATAAATCCCATGTGGAGCAGAGGGCATCAGTGTTTCCCATCAACAGAACAGACTATGGTGCCCAAATAGACTAAGATTCCCCCCATAGTCTAGAAAGAACCTGGTCTAAACTAGTGTCGTAGTACTCGAGACTGGTCTTGGCCTCAAGACCGTTTTCTCTCGATGTTGGTCTCGAAATTTGCCTAATAAAAATACTCATCCAGTCCATTTGTGTTTGTCACGATGTGCTTTTGGTAAATGTGCAAATATCACTGCAAAACCAGTAAGAGAATGTAACTCCAGTTAGGAACTTCAGATCAAATGGAGACAGATTTATAAACAGTTTGATATATATGTACAAAAATAATAAAAATAGAAATAAGTGTCAAAAATGAGAAAGATGGTCTTAATTTGGTCTCAATGGGCCGTGGTCTTGGTCTTGTCTCGGTCTCGACCCTCAGGTGTTGGTTTTGTCTCGGACTCGGGACCCTGTGGTCTCGGACTGGTCTTGGTCTGGATTAGTGCGTCTTTCTTAACGACAACACTAATCTAAACTTACTTTGTTTCTTGTTTTGTCATTCACATAAAAAGTTACTACACTGTTCACTGGGCGACCTACTTAATTAAACTTTATAAATAAATGTACACGTCATTTGTTATTTGTTTGCCGTTTTTAAATCTGTGTATTGTGTTTTTACCAGAGCAGGACAGTTTAAATCTATGATTTATTATTTTTGTCTTCTCTGTGTCTCTGCAGCGGAGTGCTCTGTGACCGGGGACATGTTTTTCCAGTCGTTCGACGGCAGAGTTTTCTCTTTCGCTTCGACGTGTCAGTACGTCCTGTCCAAGAGCCACAACTCCGGACGCTTCACCGTCACCATCCAGAACGCCCCCTGTGGAGCCGTGAGTGAACTGCAGCTTACACCACACGATCAGACGGAGGCAGGTCACACTGAACCGCTCTGTGTCCTCTGCTTCAGTCTGGTTAGTTTGAGAATGTGGTCAAATATCAAACCAACTTAGTTAAATGTACACATTATTCATCGCTTTTTACCAATCCCGGATAAAAAAAAAACAAGAGCTTTGCACATCAGTTTCTTGAAACGAGGAGGGTCCATCTGCAGTTGGGCGTTCCAGACGTGCAACAGAAACTCCCTAATGGGCGTTTCTGCAGCGTGTGATCAACCATTCAGAAAGACTTCATGTGTTTCATGAGAGGTTACGTCCTTAAGTATCATTTATTTGTACAGTCTGAGTAATTCCAGCGTAATATTAAATGTACATAAACAGAATGATGTTAGAATGTGATCAGAGCCTCTCTGGTACAAACGCTCACAATAAAGCAATCAATTTACGAAGTTAGTTAACGATAGTATGGCATGATCCTTGACATTAGCTTTTGATACCCACACCTAAGTGACTATAACAGGTTAGCAACTCTGCTTTTGGGAAACGCTTTGGATAAAAGCGTCTGCTAAGTACATAAACATAAACATTTGTAGCTGTAGAACTACGGCTCTGGCCTATCAACAGATAACGTCAAGTTTCATGCCGTGGTGTCATGTTAACTTGGTTCTTTCATTGTGAGCGTTTGTACCGGAGAGGCTCTGATCACATCCTAACTTCATTCTGTTTATGTACATTTAACATGATGCTGGAATTGCTCAAACTGTACAAATAAATGACACTTACAGACATAATCCAAGTACAGCGTTAACACGAGTATTTGTCAGTAATGCAGTTTTTTTTCTATCCAAATGATGCGCTTAAAGCAGTCGACCTACTACTGCGTTGAAAATACTGAAGGAAGTAGGCAGTACAATACGGTTGGGGTATTTTTCGGAAGGGGACATAAGCTATTTTTAGAAATAAAACAATGCTCTGCACAACTCAGCATTTTACTATGCAACATTTGGTGACGGCTTAGCAAGTTCCTGCTTTTTCGTAGACATAGATCTACAGGGAACGTCCATTGTTTCCACAGCTGGATGATATTGCTTGAAACAGGTGCGTGGGAGAAACAACAGTGTGCGGGATTCTTCTTTTAAAAGTGAAAAATTTTGCATAGAACACTCAGATGGCCGATGTCCAAAAGCTTTTTCTCAGTCAGATAATTTTTCTTGCTTTGGACCACAGGACACAAAATGGTTGCCAGCTCAGACGCTCATCCCCCTCCAACGGTTCTTCTCTTACCAATAGGCGAGTTTCAGCTGACGTCATTGTTATTAAAAGCCCGCGTTGCTGCTGGGAAATATTTTGGTCAAACACAGTGCGTAACCTCGCGTATTTATCCCCGATAATGGTAAATTCCTGCTGCATTATCGGACGCACAAATAGAAGCACGGAAGAAGGAAAATGTCTTTTTCGTATTCTGAGTGAAAAGAACCGCTAACGGTGAATTAAACGACTTTCAAACATCCGCAGAGCAAACGTAGAAGATCCTAACAAACCGTGGACTCCAACAAGTTCAACAACACATCGAGACTCTTGGAGGTTTTCATCTTTTCTGCTGTGAATGGCCCAGGAGTTTCCACCAAGTCATTGTGGATGTCGCCCAAGTGAATATTTGTCCAGGTAGTTGGAGATTCTGACCAGAAGTTTGGTTTGGTCCACCTTTTGTCGGGGTTGAAAAGGGTGATTTGTCGTCCGTCGATGTTTATGACCAATTTCTGGTCAAATGGTCTTGGGTCCTCTGCCGTTAGAGTGGAGAAATAACCAGGATCAATACCCTTTACGTCAGAGGTGCTCACACTTTTTCATCATGTGAGCTACTTACAAAATGACCAAGTCATAAAGATCTATCTAATACAAAGTCAAGCAAACTGCACTGAAACACTCTGTTCCCCTTTTTTGGACCCTCCCCCACAGTTTGAGAACCTCTTCTTTAAGAGAACTTCCTCTGGCACTTTACACAAAACTGTGAAAAAAGTGAAGGAAGATTTTTAAACCTGTTTTTTAAAGTTCCAAACTGGAGTTTCATTCTTTTCTGGTTTTGCAGTGATATTTACCAGCCTCTGCACGTTTACCAAACCAAACGCACATCGTGACAAACACAGATGCATTTGTCACTTTTGTTAGACAAACTTCAGCCAAATGTGGCAGTAGGTCTGTTCTGTAGATCCGCTCTATGCTGTAGACCTGCTTTGTGCCAACACTGGAACACAAATTTAGACTGGTTTTTGCTTCACGTTTGGTCTTGCTCTTCTAAATCAGCCGCACTGTGGGAGGGGCTTGTGTTGGCTGTACGCAGGAAGGAGCGAGAGCGTGAAAAGGCGAGGGGCGGCGTGCTGACGTGAGGCAGGTGGACAGGTAGGATGTTTAGGAAGTTGAACCTGCCCTGTGATGCACGCTGGTACACGAGGGCACACGCTGTCGCAGACGAGCCGTGCATAGGGAGCGTGTGTGTTGTGATGCGCCGTAGAGTCTCCGCGGGTTTCAAATGAGCGCACAGGCTGCACTGAGACGCCCCACACGCTCCTGCACCCGCTACAAGTTTATTACCAACAGCAGCGGCCGGAATGAAATATGATCACACTTGTTGAGTGTCAGACCTCGAGTGAGAGACAAGACCGAGTCCAAACGCGATCGAGTCCGAGACGAGACACGGCGATTTACCCACACGACCTTGGCGATCGACTGGTAGATCGGGATCGACGTATTGAGCACCACTGATTTACGGGCTTTCTCGCTCCGTCCGTCATGTTGAATTAGTGTTTCTTACCGCCGACCAAAATAATTCCCAGCATGCAACGTGCGCTTTTGTCAACAATGAAACTCGCCTATACTGGATTTAAAAATGATTCTCGTTGTTTAATTTTATAAGGTAGAGTGTTTGAGGTCGTCTGTGTGGAGATGTTCTCGCTTTGCCTGGAATGAATCTTATTTTTATTCGATTACAGATGTTTTATTGCTCAGAAATACCGTTAAAAACTTTATATCATGACTTAATTTCGCACAAGAGTGAATTTGTGTGACATAGGATGATTTTTAAATTCATAATAAGTGTAAGAAATGCAGTGTTGTATGTTCTATTGATGGTCCAAAATGAGGGTGTGTGTGAAACCAGAGCAGGAGATGGTGAGGGGTGGTGATCTGAGGACACATGAATCGGCTCTTTCATCACCAAAACTGTCCAAACCAAAAAACCCCAAACACAGGTACAAAGGCCTGAACCCAACACGGCCCCAAAGGCTCATGGGAACTCACTCATGAACTGTCCTTTATCATCTCCAGGAATACACCAGGAAAAGACGGCTCGGTTCGTAGTGGAAAAGTGAAGTTTAAAGGGGACAGAATCCACTTTTACGAGCTTTTTTAAACATGTTGTAACAATTCGTGTGTTGTTCGTTCCTTTGTTTTTCAAAATAAAACCAAAAGGAGCACATATTCAAGGCTGCGTTCAGACTGCAGCCTGAAGTGACCCAGGATACAGGAACATAGAGTGGCCTCTATGTTCCTGTATCTGATCTTTTAATGACAGTCTGAACGACACAGATCCGATTTTTTCAAATGTGACCCAGGACACTTGGATATGTGCTCCTGAAACTGATACATATCTGATCTTTTGACATGTGACTTCAGTCTGAACGGTCAAAGTGCATTCATCCACCTACACGTTATCAACAAGACACAAACGTCACTATTCTGCGCTGAAGTAGGAGAAAATTGTTAATGAACTCTGTGTCACTGAAGTGAAGCACATCTCCACTCACCACTCTTGGCTCCGTCTCCACATCCAACGTTCCTTTCAATGTTCTGTCCCACAAAACACCACGACCAAAAACCTCGTCCTTCTCCTTCTCAATCTCCTCCTTTAAAACAAGTAAGTTGTTCATGTTCTGGCTCCGGTACGAGAGGAACTTTAAAATCTCCAGGTGCTCGATGCTGCGTCCATGTTCGGACAACTTCTGTAAACACAGAGACGCTCGCTGCGGTTGACGTCGTCGTGTCTCCAGTGTCACATGTGGGACACTTTTGGGCCGTTTAATGTTCACACTGGAGTCACATACAAGTCACATTTAACTTGGAAATGTGAACGACCTCGAAAAAACATCGGATTTCACAAAAAAAATCGGATTTGAGCGTTAAGGCCTGCAGTCTGAATTAATTATCTTAGGGATGGACATTATAATGTGTTTAATTCAGTTTTGTTCAAATCTCACAGAAAACAAACTTAAAAACCACATCACTAATTTACATAAACTAAGTGAAGATAAAACTCCAGCTCTTGTGTCGCTGATGTGGTTCAACTTGTGTTGGATTAAAAGACATGACTCAGGTGAATACAGGTCAGTGTGACCAGATTTGTGTTTGTCAAAACCAGGACAGCGTACGGGGGGAGGGGGGCGGGGCCTCGTCATCCACATTGAGCGACTCTCACCTGGAAAAACTTTTTCCCACTGGACACAGAAACATATGTGCTGCTTTATCCACTGTGCACATGGACTCACACTTGTCCCGACCGGAAAGCCTGGACTTTCTTGTACAAATCATGTTTCACATCGTTCGCATTTGCACTTCAGTACATTACAGACTGACCCACTGTTTGTGTCTCGCTCCTTCTGATGCAGAGACACATGTACACACCTGTTTGGTCACGATACACACAACAACATACATTCAGTTTGTCGATTAAAATGAACGTAATCGATGAAATTCTTAATGATCAATTATCGATTAATCGACTAATCATGCCCATCCCTCGTCTGAACGTAGCCCAAGTGGCCTGGGTCGCATTCGAAAAAATCAGATCTGTGTCGTTCAGACTCATTAAAAGATCAGATACAGGAACATAGAAGCCAAAAAAATCTGATTTGAACACAGCCTAAATGTGGCCTTATATCACCACATTTGTTTGAGAACTCCAGGTCTGTAACTTTAATATAACTTAGATCAGAATGTAGTTTAATATGGGCGCTTTAGAAATCTCATGAGTAAAAGAATCACTGTTACTTCCTCCCCTCTGGCCCGGGCTTTTACAGCTCGTAGTGTAGAGTCTGGAGTTCACTCAGCCCCCGTCTGTGCCTCCTGCGTCCCAGATGGAGTCTTATACCTGCCTCTGTGGGAATCGGGGGACAGTTGTGGGGGAAGGCTCGTCTTTTGTCCCTCTCCGGCTCTTCGTTTTCGCGTCTGAAAGAAGCGCCGAGATTATGGAGCGTTTACATCACGATACGATCGACGCGAAGAGACAAATTGCTGTAAGAGGAGACGCGGAGAGGCCAGCGCTTTCAGGACCGAGCCATTATAGAGCGACTCCGAGCTCCCAGCGGCACAAAGACGGACATAACTGCACAGGGACACTGACAGAACAGAGACAGGAGATGAAATTTGTAGAAGTTAATCACGTCCAGAATCACAGAGACGGATTAAAAACGCAGAAAGAGAAAGCGATCCTGACTGAACTGAGAGTGGCAAGTGACTAAATGCACAATGTCTTTACTTTACACTCAAAGAAAATTAGAATCTGTCGCTCTGGGCTGTAATATAAAATTATAAAACCAAACTTTTACAAAATTATGTGACCAAAAATACAATTCAAGTCAGTTCTTAAGTATATGAGCTTTTGTTCCTTCAGCAAAGCATAAAACTGTACGAATAAAATCATAAGTTTCCTGGAGTGACCATTTCCAAATCTCAAAATGCTCTGTTCCACCTTGTGATGTCGTAAAGTGGTAGTTTTTGAGCTCCCTTTAGCCTTTGTTGAGCAGATATTAGCAACTCCAGGGCTGAAATTATCCAAATTATTCTCTTGAAGGCGTGAGGAATGAAGCGCAGGAGCACGGCCTGTATTATCACATGACATCACAAGGTGGAACAGAGTGTTTTCCGTTCAAGAGAGTCAGTTTTGCGTAATATAGGACTATCTGCTAGGAAAGTGCTCTGAAAAGAACAATTTCTTTAAAAAAAAAGTTACTCCGGTAAATGTAACTGAGTACTGACTGTCTCTGTGCAGAGTTCATAATTAACATAAAATAACAAATAATACTTTTAATTAACCACTGGATCCCCTTTAAACTCCCGGTGCAGGTGTACAGTTTGATAAATAAGCGCCGGTTCCAAATGAATTTGTTTTGCTTTGTTTCTGGAATTTTACGGGCTTGTAGTAATTACACACACAGGCGGGTCAGGACTAAACCAGGACTAAACCAGGTCTAATCTTGGATTTAAGAGAAAGAGAACTTCGAGTCCATGGAGCAGGGTGTCCGCAAAGCGCGATAGGACGACAGCTGTTCTGACCTTCATAGGGCGCAGATCCACGCCGTCCTCACAGTCCTCGTCCTGACAGTGAGTCCTGGTGTAGTCCTAGTTCAGTCCTGGTGTAGTCCTGGTGTAGTCTAGTTCAGTCCTGGTGTAGTCCTGGTGTAGTCCTAGTTCAGTCCTGGTGTAGTCCTGGTGTAGTCCTAGTTCAGTCCTGGTGTAGTCCTGGTGTAGTCCTAGTTCAGTCCTGGTGTAGTCCTGGTGTAGTCCTAGTTCAGTCCTGGTGTAGTCCTAGTTCAGTCCTGGTGTAGTCCTGGTGTAGTCCTAGTTCAGTCCTGGTGTAGTCCTAGTTCAGTCCTGGTGTAGTCCTGGTGTAGTCCTAGTTCAGTCCTGGTGTAGTCCTGGTGTAGTCCTAGTTCAGTCCTGGTTTAGTCCTAGTTCAGTCCTGGTGTAGTCCTGGTTTAGTCCTGGTTTAGTCTTGGTGTAGTCCTAGTTCAGTCCTGGTTTAGTCTGGTTTAGTCCTGGTTTAGTCTTGGTGTAGTCCTAGTTCAGTCCTGGTTTAGTCCTGGTGTAGTCCTAGTTCAGTCCTGGTTTAGTCCTGGTTTAGTCTTGGTGTAGTCCTAGTTCAGTCCTGGTTTGGTTCTGGTGTAGTCCTAGTTCAGTCTTGGTTTGGTTCTGGTGTAGTCCTAGTTCAGTCCTGGTTTAGTCCTAGTTCAGTCCTGGTTTAGTCCTGGTGTAGTCCTAGTTCAGTCCTGGTGTAGTCCTAGTTCAGTCCTGGTTTAGTCCTGGTGTAGTCCTAGTTCAGTCCTGGTTTAGTCCTGGTGTAGTCCTGGTTTAGTCCTGGTGTAGTCCTAGTTCAGTCCTGGTTTAGTCCTGGTGTAGTCCTAGTTTAGTCCTGGTGTAGTCCTAGTTCAGTCCTGGTTCAGTCCTGGTTTAGTCCTGGTTTATTCCTAGTTCAGTCCTGGTTTAGTCCTGGTTTAGTCTTGGTGTAGTCCTAGTTCAGTCCTGGTTTGGTTCTGGTGTAGTCCTAGTTCAGTCTTGGTTTGGTTCTGGTGTAGTCCTAGTTCAGTCTTGGTTTGGTTCTGGTGTAGTCCTAGTTCAGTCTTGGTTTGGTTCTGGTGTAGTCCTAGTTCAGTCCTGGTTTAGTCCTCCCTGGTTCAGTCCTGGAATGAGTCCTGGGTTAGTCCTGGGTTGGGCCTGGTTCAGTCCAGTGAATCAAAAATATACTTTATCAGTTTAAGTAATATTTGTGACCTTGTCTGTGTAGAACTTGGACGGCTCGTGTCTGCAGTCGGTGAGTCTGGTGGTGGACGAGGACCCCAGGACGGAGCTGACCCTGAGCCACGTGGGAGAGGTGTTTCTGGGGGGACAGTACCGCATCTCCCTGCCCTACTCCGACGGTAAACATCTGCTTATTCAGACTTTGCAGCTGATGGCGTCAACATTCCCTGGAGCTGTGATGCCAACTGTAAATTCTGCACTGTCTGAAGCTTCATTAGACTTGATCTGATCTTTAACAAAGTCTGACAAGAAAGAGCTGACTGACTTGGAACTGCGACAGAACTGATTCGTGCTGTTAAACAAGTCCCACACACATTAAAGGTTGTATGGAGGATTTTTTTTTGTTTCAAATTGTCAGTGATAGATTATAGATGCAGTCGCCTTGTAATTATGATGACCAAAAAAAAGAGAATAAAAATTCATCAACTCTGGACGTGGTGGGGCTAAACATTTGCCAATAGATAACGACACTGCCTCGTTATCTGTGAGCTGACAGGCTGTCAATCAAACTCCCTACGTTTCTAGTGTAACTGACTTGCCTGCGCCGCCGGTACGTGGTTTACGTACGCCTGTCACGCAGTCCACAGACGCAAGACGCACAGACGCTGTTTACTCCACCAACACAACAGTTCTTAGCGGCTTTTTTGACCTATATCTTCCTCGCAGTTCGCACAAAGTTTGTTGCAATGGCGACAAGAATCCAGGAGCAGTTCGCCGCAAAAGAAAGTCCGTTTTTGAGGTCACTGAAAGAAGAAGACAAGGGGAAAAGCAGCGAAGCCAAACTAAGGTGATTCTTATAGATTCATTCCAGCGATGGCGCGACTGAAGCAGACGAAGAGTCTAAAGACTGAACCACTGGTCCACAAATTACTCCTGGACAGGAAACTTCTGCTTATTATGAAAACGTACTTTATTTCCAAGAGGGAGACAAAACGTTTTTCAGGACACGAAAGCGATATCCTATGTCTGAAAACGTAATTTTCAAGGCAAAGAAAGAGTCCGCTTGCTGCTGCGTGTTTGTAGCTAGTTCATCCATCCATCCATCCATTTTCGTTCCGCTTATCCGGGGCCGGGTCGCGGGGGGAGCAGCCTAAGCAGGGACTCCCAGACTTCCTTCACCCCAGACACGTCCTCCAGCTCCTCCGGGGGGACCCCGAGGCGTTCCCAGGCCAGCCGAGAGACATAGTCCCTCCAGCGTGTCCTGGGTCTTCCCCGGGGCCTCCTCCCGGCGGGACATGCCCGGAACACCTCCCGAGGGAGGCGCCCAGGAGGCATCCGGAACAGATGCCCGAGCCACCTCAACTGGCTCCTCTCGACGTGGAGGAGCAGCGGCTCTACTCCGAGCTCCTCCCGTGTGACTGAGCTCCTCACCCTATCTCTAAGGGAGCGCCCAGCCACCCTGCGGAGGAAACTCATTTCGAGCGCTTGTATCCGCGATCTCGTCCTTTCGGTCACTACCCAGAGCTCATGACCATAGGTGAGAGTAGGAACGAAGACTGACCGGTAAATCGAGAGCTTCGCCTTTCGACTCAGCTCCCTCTTCACCACAACGGTCCGATACAGCGACCGCATCACTGCCGAAGCTGCACCGATCCGCCTGTCAATCTCAACGTTCCGTCCTTCCCTCACTCGTGAACAAGACCCCGAGATACTTGAACTCCTCCACTTGAGGCAAAGACTCCCCACCCACCCCCGGAGAGGGCAAGCCACCTTTTCCGGGTCGAGAACCATGGCCTCGGACTTGGAAGAGCTGATCTTCATCCCAGCCGCTTCACACTCGGCTGCAAACCGCCCCAGTGCACATTGCAGGTCCTGGTTCGATGAAAGCCAACAGGACAACATCGTCCGCAAACAGCAGAGATGAAATCCTGTGGTCCCCAAACCGGACCCCCTCCGGCCCCTGACTGCGCCTAGAAATTCTGTCCATAAATACAATGAACAGAACCGGTGACAAGGGCAGCCCTGGCGGAGTCCAACATGCACCGGGAACAGGTCTGACTTACTGCCGGCAATGCGAACACAGCTCCTGCTCCGGTCATACAGGGACCGGACAGCCCTTAGCAAAGGGCCCCGGACCCCATACTCCCAGAGCACCCCCACAGGAACGCCACGAGGGACACGGTCGAATGCCTTCTCCCAGATCCACAAAACACATGTGGACTGGTTGGGCAAACTCCCATGAACCCTCGAGCACCCTATGGAGAGTGTAGAGCTGGTCCAGTGTTCCACGGCCAGGACGAAAACCACACTGCTCCTCCTGAATCCGAGGTTCGACTATCGGCCGGATTCTCCTCTCCAGTACCCCTGGCATAGACCCTTACCAGGAAGGCTGAGAAGTGTGATCCCCTATAGTTGGAACACACCCTCCGGTCCCCTTCTTATACAGAGGGACCACCACCCCGGTTTGCCAGTCCAGAGGTACTGTCCCCGACCGCCACGCAATGTTGAAGAGGCGTTGTCAGCCAAGACAGCCCCACAACATCCAGAGACTTCAGGTACTCAGGACGGATCTCATCCAACCCCGGAGCCTTGCCACCAAGGAGCTTGCCAACCACCTCAGTGACTTCGGCCAGGGTGATGGATGAGTCCGCCTCTGAGTCCCCAGCCTCGGCCTCCTCCTCGGAGGACGTGACGGTGGGATTGAGGAGATCCTCAAAGTATTCCTTCCACCGCCGGACAACGTCCCAGTCGAGGTCAACAGCTCTCCCCCGCACTGTAAACAGTGTTGGTGAAGAACTGCTTTCCCCTCCTGAGGCGCCGGACGGTTTGCCAGAATCTCTTTGAGGCCGTCCGATAGTCCTTCTCCATGGCCTCCCCGAACTCCTCCCAGCTCCGAGTTTTTGCCTCCGCGACCACACGGGCTGCAGCACGCTTGGCCCGCCGGTACCTGTCAGCTGCCTCAGGAGTCCCCCGAGCCAGCAAGGCCCGATAGGACTCCTTCTTCAGCTTGACAGCATCCCTTACTTCCGGTGTCCACCACCGGGTTCTGGGGTTGCCGCCGCGACAGGCACCACAGACCTTACGCCCACAGCTCCGAGCAGCTGCATTGACAATAGAGGCCGAGAATGAAGCCCACTCGGACTCCATATCTCCAGCCTCCCCCGGAATCCGGGAGAAGTCCTCCCGGAGGTGCGAGTTGAAGGTCCCTCTGACAGAGGGCTCCGCCAGACGTTCCCAAACAGACCCTCACTACACGCTTGGGCCTGCCAGGTCTTTCCGGCTTCCTCCTCCGCCAGCGAACCCAACTCACGACCAGGTGGTGATCAGTTGACAGCTCAGCCCCTCTCTTCACCCGAGTGTCCAAGACACGCGGCCGGAGATCAGATGACACGACAACAAAGTCGATCATCGACCTCCGGCCTAGGGTGTCCTGGTGCCACGTGCACTTATGGACACCCTTGTGCTCGAACATGGTGTTTGTTATGGACAAACTGTGACTAGCACAGAAGTCCAATAACAAAACACCACTCGGGTTCAGATCGGGGAGGCCGTTCCTCCCAATCACCCCTCTCCAAGTGTCCACTGTCGTTGCCACACGTGGGCGTTGAAGTCCCCCAGGAGAACAACGGAGTCCCCGGTCGGTGCACTGTCTAGTACCCCTCCCAAGGACTCCAAGAAGGCCGGGTACTCAGCACTGCTGTTCGGCCCGTAGGCCGACACCACAGTGAGAGACCTGTCCCCGACCCGAAGGCGCAGGGACGCGACCCTCTCGTTCACCGGGGTGAACTCCAACACACAGCGGCTGAGCTGTGGGGCAATGAGCAGGCCCACACCAGCCCGCCGCCGCTCCCCGCGGCCAACGCCAGAGAAATGGAGAGTCCAGCCCCTCTCAAGGAGTTGGGTTCCAGAGCCCAAACTGTGCGTGGAGGTGAGGCCGACTATATCTAGTCGGTAACGCTCAACCTCCCGCACAAGCTCAGGCTCCTTCCCCCCCAGCGAGGTGACATTCCATGTCCCCAGAGCTAGTCTCCATGTCCGGAGATCCGGTCGCCGAGGCCCCCGCCGTCGACTGCCGCCCAGATCTCTCTGCACCGGCCCCATATGGATCCTCCTGCGGGTGTGGGCCCACGTGAGGACGGCCCCACGTCGCTCCTTCGGGCTGAGCCCGGCCGAGCCCCGTGGGGGGAGGCTCGGCCACCAGGCGCTCGCTGGCGAGCACCCACCCCAGGCCTGGCTCCAGGGTGAGGCCCCGGTGACGCCAATCCGGGCGACGTAAATGGCCTTGCTGGTACACTCATCATAGGGGCTTCTGAACCGTTCTTCGTCTGACCCGTCCCCCCGGACCTGTTTGCCTTGGGTGACCCTACCAGGGGCATGAAGCCCCCGACAACATAGCTCCCTGGGATCATTCGGGCACTCAAACCCCTCCACCACGATAAGGTGACGGTTCAAGGAGGGTGACGGTTCAAGTTCATTCGCACTGAATCTCCGCGCAACCTTCTCTGCTCCCCTTTCCTGCTCCTGTCTCCTCGCTGCCCGATCCGCTCTTCCCCTGCTCCTCACTTCTCGTCCACGAAACGAAATGTCCGCGCACCCCCTCCCCCGCTCCTCACTTCTCCGTCTTGCCTCAACCAACACTGTAGTTAGTTGTTTACAAGTCATGTGCAGCACCGGCTGTAAACAAACCTGTTTCTGGCGTAAGGAGGAGGAGGGAGGAGGTGTTTCTACGTAGGAGCTGTAGGGGAGGGGAGGTGGTTTCACGCATGCGCAACATTTGAAAAAGGACAAACAGTCGCTGGATTTCTCGTTCCTTGGAAAATCCTCTATACAACCTTTAAACAGTTGTTTTTTTCAGTCACTCTCACCTTTTTGTTGAAGATCAAACACCTAATCTGGACTATAAACGCTCAGACTGATCACAAACTCCAGAAAAAATGCTGTAAATCCATTTTGTATCTAAAAACTTATTTTGCAGTGTTTACTGATAACGGGTGAACATTCCGACCATAAACATGCATACAGAACACCCCCAGCGTAACGTCACTGCAAAATATCGATAATACGCTTGTCTATGTCCAACCTAACTGGAGGCACTGCTCTGTCTGAAGCTGTTTCTCAAGTCAGACTTTAATTCGAGCTTCATTTTAACACAATCTGACCATAAATTACAGACTTAGTTGCTTAGGTGCAGTTAAAGAATTTTTTCTCAAATAAAATTAGTGTTTCACTTAGTCTCAGCTTTTAGTTGAAAATCAAACTCCTGAACACGACCACCAGTGTTGGGAAGGTTCCTTTTAAAATGTAATCCCCTACAAATTACAGATTACATACCCTAAAATGTAGTTTGTAACGTAATCCACTAAATTACTTAAAGTGAGTAATGTAATCTGAATACTTTGGATTACTTGATATTCTGTAGAGAAGCAAAGACGAGGAAATCTTCACATAAAATGTTTTATCTGCTAAAAGAAAATAAAAAGCTCAGACTTTACTGAACCGTATTAAAAATATTATTGATAAACGACGAGGAGACATGGTCCACACGGCAAGGTTTAGTCCTGTTAAATCCTGGTTTAGTCCTGGTTTAGACCTGGTTTAGTCCTGGTTTAGTCCTGGTTTAGACCTGGTTTAGAGACCTGGTTTTAGTACTGGTTTAGTCCTGGTTTAAACCTGGTTTAGACCTGGTTTTAGTCCTGCTTTAGTCCTGCTTTAGTCCTGGTTTAGTCCTGCTTTAGTCCTGGTTTAGTCCTGGGTTTAGTCCTGGTTTAGTCCTGGTTTAGTCCTGGTTTAGTCCTGGTTTAGTCCTGGTTTTAGTCCTGGTTTTAGTCCTGGTTTTAGTCCTGGTTTAGTCCTGGGTTTAGTCCTGGTTTTAGTCCTGGTTTAGTCCTGGTTTTAGTCCTGGTTTAGACATGGTTTAGTCCTGGTTTTAGTCCTGCTTTAGTCCTGCTTTAGTCCTGGTTTGGACCTGGGTTTAGACCTGGTTTAGTGTCCGGCAATGAGTGGAATTACCAAACAAGAAAAAAAAAGGGAATAGCCCAAAATGTGAAAACAGGAAAATCCCGCCGTGTAATCCATTTATTTCAACAAAGTAACTGTAATCCAATTACCACTCACTGAAACAGTAACTGATCATTTGTACTCTGATTACGTAACTCCAGTACATGTAATCTGTTACTCCCCAACACTGACGACCACAAACACTCGGACTGATCACAGACTACAGAAAATGTGCTCTTTAAATCCATTTTGTATTTTTTCTTCAGTGTTTGGATGATCTTAAAAGTTATCAGTCAGTGTTTGCGTCATTGTATCTGCTGAACATTCCTCCGTAGACTTGCATGCAGAACACCCCTAGCGTCATGTCAGTGCAGAGCATCAGTAGAAAACCTCTGACCCCCCCCACGTCGTTCTCTCTCCCATCAGAGGTGCTGGAGGTGCAGGAGCTGTCGTCCATGTTCGTCCAGGTGCAGACGGTCTTCGGGCTCCGGATCCAGTTCTCCTGGTCCGAGTCCAGACTTTACCTGCAGCTGGACCAGCGCTGGCTCCAGGACACGGTCGGACTGTGCGGGACCTTCAACGGGAACAGCCAGGACGACTTCCTGTGAGTACAGCTGGTACAGACCCGGTTTAGTCCTGGTTTAGACCTGGTTTAGGCCCTCATTTCTAATCAAATTTCAAATCCTCAAATCCTAAATGAATGAATGGAAAAAAAAAACAACTTAAAACAACTGTAATGATTTGATTTCACTCCAGGTTCATTCAAAATTCTCTGCGAGTTGACCTGGTTAAAGCATCGCCCTGGAAATGCAACGGTTTAGTCCCGGTCTGATCCTGGTTTAGGTCCCTTTTTTGTCCAGCTTCAGCACTTGGTTTAGTCTCTGCTTTAGTCCCTAGTTTAGTTCCCGATTCAGTCCCAGTCTGGTCCTGATTTAGTCCTGGTGTAGTCCTGCTTTAGTCCCTAGTCTAGTCCTAGTTAGTCCTAGTTTAGTCCCTCCTTTGGCCCTGCTTTAGTCCAGTATTAGCCCTAGATTAGGTCTGCTTCAGTCCTTGTTTAGTACTTGTTCAGTCCTTGGTGTAGTCCTGGTTTAATCCCTGGTTTTGTCCTACCTGCTTTAGTCCCAGTTTGGTCCCAGTCCCTGCTCCTCTCTCTCGGTTGAAGCTGCTCTTTGAAGCTCTGGTTTAGTCCATGTTTAGTCCTAGTTTGGTCCCAGTTTGGTCCTGATTCAGTCCCTGGTTTAGTCCCTGTTTTAGTCCTGCTTTAGCTCTGTTTAGTCCATGTTTAGTCCTGGTTCAGTCCCAGTTTGGTCCCAGTCCCTGCTCCTCTCTCTCGGTTGAAGCGGCTCTTTGAAGCTCTGGTTTAGTCCATGTTTAGTCCTAGTTTGGTCCCAGTTTGGTCCTGATTCAGTCCCTGGTTCAGTCCCTGTTTTAGTCCTGCTTTAGCTCTGTTTTAGTCCATGTTTAGTCCTGGTTCAGTCCCAGTTTGGTCCCAGTCCCTGCTCCTCTCTCTTGGTTGAAGCGGCTCTTTGAAGTTCTGGTTTAGTCTCCACTTTAGTCCTAGTTTAGTCCTTGTTTAGTCCTACTTTAGTACTTGTTCAGCCCCCGGTTCAGTCCCAGTTCGGTCCTAATTCAGTCCCTGAATCAGTCCCTGTTTTAGGTCTTCTTGAGCTCTTGTTTAGTCCTGCTTTAGTCCATGTTTAGTCCATGTTTAGTCCATATCTAATCCTGGTTTAGTCCCAGTTTGCTCCTAGTCCCTGCTCCTCTCTCTCGGTTGAAGTGGCTCTTTGAAGTTCTGGTTTAGTCCCAGGTTTAGCTCTGCTTTAGTCCTAGTTTAGTCCATGTTTAGTCCTGCTTTAGCATTGCTTTAGTTTGGTCCCAGTTTGGTCCTGATTCAGTCCCTAGTTTAGTCCTGCTTTAGCGTTGCTTTGGTCCATGTTTAGTCCTGGTTTAGCCCTGGTTTAGTCCATGTTCAGTCCTGCTTTAACTCTGTTTTAGTCCTAGTTTAGTTCTGGTTCAGTCCCAGTTTGGTCCCAGTCCCTGCTCCTCTCTCTCGGTTGAAGCGTCTTTTTGAAGCTTTGGTTTAGTCCTGGTCCAGTCCCAGTTTGGTCCTGATTCAGTCCCTGGTTTAGTCCTGTTTTATTCCTGCTTTAGCTCTGGTTTAGTCCTAGTTTAATCCTGGTTTAATCCTGCTTTAGTGTTGCTTTAGTCCATGTTTAGTCCTGGTTCAGTCCCAGTTTGGTCCCAGTCCCTGCTCCTCTTTCTCAGTTGAAGCGGCTCTTTGAAGCTCTGGTTTAGTCCTGGTTTAGTCCTGGTTTAGTCCTGCTTTAGCTCTGCTTTAGTCCATGTTTAGTCCTGGTTCAGTCCCAGTTTGGTCCCAGTCCCTGCTCCTCTCTCTCGGTTGGAGCGGCTTTTTGAAGCTCTGGTTTAGTCCTGGTTTAGTCCTGGTTTAGTCCTGCTTTAGCGTTGCTTTAGTCCATGTTTAGTCCTGGTTCAGTCCCAGTTTGGTCCCAGTCCCTGCTCCTCTCTCTCAGTTGGAGCGGCTCTTTGAAGCTCTGGTTTAGTCCTGGTTTAGTCCTGGTTTAGTCCTGGTTTAGTCCTGCTTTAGCTCTGCTTTAGTCCATGTTTAGTCCTGGTTCAGACCCAGTTTGGTCCCAGTCCCTGCTCCTCTCTCTCGGTCGGAGCGGCTCTTTGAAGCTGTACTCTTGTTTCATTGACTGAACGGTTGGAGGGCTGGGGGTAATGCACACTGTGATCACGGCTTTACGGAGGCCACAGAGACTCAACAAGGACCCGCCTGTTCTCGAGAACCAGATCTGAACCGGGTCTGAACCGGGCCTGAACCAGGTCTGAACCAGGTCTACGCCGGCCCTAATGGGATCACAGAGGACGGATGTGTCTGACGGCTGTAATGGACTCAGGAGGAGACGAGCGGTGACCGAATCGCAAAGGCTGAAAATGTTTTAGTGTCATAATTTCAAACACAAACAACAAAATCTCAGGTCTTATTCTACATAAAAACTGCTCACCCTGTGGTTTAGATCTGCACAAACATGCTCTGAAATACCGTATTTTCTGCACTATAGAGAGCACTTAAAACAGGAGTGTCAAACTCATTTTGGTCCGGGGGCCGTATCCAACCGACTTTGATCCTAAAGTGTCCGGATCAGAAAACTCATGTCATATAAACCCCAAAAATAACAATAAGTTCAAATATTTGTGTAGAAAAACACAAATCTATTACAGAAATCTTTTTTAATTGATGAACTCTTTCTTTTACAAAATATTATAATATTATGAACAACCTGAAACTTTAAAAAAAAATTTCAACACAAAGTTTTAACATGAACTTGTCTGTAAACAGGAATAAGTCCATTTTTGTTGTAAAATCCTGCACTCGGCTCCACTTTTCTCATGTTGGACATTTTTCTGATGAGGGTGTCACGGTCAACAGTCAAAACGATCGTCCTTTAAGAGCGTTTGGAAAGAGACAAGTCTTCATTTGTGCTGCTCTGGTGGGAGGGGCCACGTACAGAGACGCTGGAGACGCTGCTGTGATAAACACCACAGAAAATTAACAAGATTTTAATTGAAAATATCATTAAAATATTTTAGTAGAAAATCAACCGAGGGCCAGATTAAAGATCTTGGAGGGCCGGATCTGGCCCCCGGGCCGTATGTTTGACACCTGTGACTTAAAACCTTTAATTTCATCCACAAACGAGTGCGCGCCTTATATATGAATTTATTGGGGTGTCTTAGTACGACTTTAGTAAAACTACAAAGCCGCTCCACTTGCAGCATCACAGCTCCCGTAGTCAGGAGCATCAGGAGTAAAACAGACTGTGATTCCTTTTAATATCAAAATGCACCTGTCAGGAGACACACTCACCACGCCCACTTTAAACTCAAGGCTTTAAACTAAAGTGAAAGTGCGTTTAGCTGTGTGGGAGCAGTGGATGAGAGAAGAAGAACACGTTCACCAAGACAGAGAGACGACGCCGAGCGACTTACGCCACGATCTACAGACGGATCGTTGACGCCCGGGCTCAGGATCAGGATCAACTCTGGTCCGAGTTTTCACCAAGACCAGAATCATCACTGAACTGAACTCCAGGGAACAGGAACCACACTGACTCGGATCATGACAGACGGATGTGGACGTGTGGACGCCGGAATCACCCAGCTGTTTCAACTATTATGAATTATTGTAAATACGAGAACAATTTAGCGTCTCAGACAATATTTTTTTTACATGTTACAATTGAACAAAGTTGAGAGTTATTGTGAACGTGTTAAGTGAAGTTTGACTGACTTATCGAACTGTTGTGTTTCGTTTAATGCGCCTTATTGTCCGGTGCGGTTGAAAAAAGTTCAAAAACAGACCATTCAGTGACAGTGCGCCTTAAAATCCAGAGCGCCTATAGTGCAGAAAATACGGTACACAGGATTCTTGGATTAATTTTGCAGTTTATTTTCAGTAATTTCTTAATGCTCCTTGAGTTTTTTACACATCCTACTTTGGAAGATGTATATTCCAAATGTAATTTCCAAAAATTATCTGAAATTGTAATTGGATTTCATGCCAAGTTGTGCAGCTATACTTTGAATAAAATTAGGGGTGCATTGTTCATACTGACACACAGACTTTGGGGTTAAACTGGAATTTATTCTGGAACTAATCCTGGCCAAAACAGGACCAAACCCGGTCTACTGTCTAGACTAAACTGGGCTCAAATCAGAACCCAGCAGGGCCAAGTGTGAAACCTTACATCCTAAAAAGGCTCTGCAAGAAGGTTCCGGGTCGCCCAAGTCTTTCTGTGTTTCATGTTGCACCAGAGACACTGAAGGATGCGTCAAATTCAGAGGACAAATTTCCCTACAGGGACAATAAAGAAAATCTTAAAGGTGCACTGTGTAACTTTTCGGTTGGGGTCCGTCATTGCTGATGTCACTGCTCTGCCTGGACCCACTGAACATTAAACGTGTTGTGGACGTGCAGATTGTGTCTTTGTTGCGTCCGTCGCTCCAAGACCAGTTCTGGACTAAATGACGTCCACCGGTTTCACTTTGTAGAAACCTGGTCGTGACGTTTGTAAAGCGCCTCTAACACGGCTTCGCTTTTCCCAAATCTCGTAGGAAGAAGGACAATAAAGTCTTTCCCCTTGATGCCTTGATGAAATTCACCAAACATTCACTTTAAATCCTCGATCTTGGAATTGCTGACAGCTCTTAATATATATCTCTTTGCTGATTGGCTGTTGCCCAAACTCGCACTTCTGGGGTTATTCTGATTCCCTGGAAGGAAATGAAAGTGAGCAGAGGCACTAGGTGTCGCCAGCCTGACTAAACGTCTGACACAAGCCAGGAAAATTACATTATTAATGAATATAATACTTTTTAAAATTTATGACAAATATCAACATAATAACAAATAACATTCATTAATATTAATTTAGTTACATTTATTGCAAATTATTTATTTGATTATGTGATATTTTGTTATATGTTTAATTAGCTCATTTAGGTTTTTATGTGTTATGTGTTATACTTCCTTAGGTCGCTGGTTCGAATCCGGCTCGAAGGACCAAGTAAATGTTAGGTTTATCTAAACATTAAAAACAAGAAGAAAGACAAGAGATTAATTCAGTTTTACTCGCGAGGAGAACGGGCAGAGAGTGGGCATCAGACCAACAGTCTCCACACGTTCTGATGACTCAAGGCCGTTCTCCTCCTTTTATTTCATTAGGAGGCCCTAGTTACAGAACGATAATTCTCAAGGGGAAGGGGAAACAGCAAAGACATAATAAGAAACTGATGCAGCTAAGCATAGTATAAACACATAAAACATGATTAACAATCAGGAGGTGCCTTAGGTCAGACACCATCATAACTCTTCATGTGTGACAGTGGGAGTTGGCTTCATGTGAGGAATCATCTGGAGGTTCACTAGAGCGATAGGACACTGCACACAGTTGTCAAACACACAGAGGTTATTCATTGTTATACAAGTGATTGGTACATTATAAATCAAAGAATTGTAGTACATAAATGGTGAACTCATAGGCCTAGAATATCACACAAGTATTTAGCAAATATGGGATAATAAAATTATTCTGACATTATGTTTATTTATTTGGAAATGCAGTTAGTGGAAAATTACAGCCTACTCATACAGAGATTATTATAATTCTATGGACCTACGAGATTTGACCTGTAACTTGGTCTGGTTTGGTCTCGAAGAAGATAAAAAGGCTTAACGCCACACTGTGCAACATTCCAGACAAAAGAGTATAACATCTCCGTGAAGAAAATCATTTGATGGACCCGCTACCAGAAAAGTTACACAGTGAATCTTTAAACTTAATTAAATCGACCCTAGTAACAGGGAAAGATCTGCAGAACCTCTCCGTCACACAGAGAGAGTGGATGCTTCTCATGCTCTTCGTGATTCGTCTTGTGTGTTTGTGTCTTTCTCCTGTCGCTCAGTTCTCCGTCGGGGATGATCGAGAGCACTCCTCAGCTCTTCGGAAACAGCTGGAGAGTTTCTTCCGCGTGCGCCGTGAGTCTGAGCGCGCCTCAGATCGACCCGTGTGACGCGCACCAACAGGCCGGTAAGACTCGTGCGGGCGCCAAGCCGACCTGAGGGCGGTTTATTACGGACGCCGAGAGGGGTCGCAAGCAAACAAACGCAAACGCCGCAACAAATACAAACGCCACGACACAACAAAAAGCCGCAACAAACCAAAAAAAAAGCCACAACGGAAATGACCGCGGGACTCTATTTTAATGCAAACGCAGCAACACATTAAAAAGCCTCAACACATTAAAAAGCCACAACACGTTAAAAAGCCGCAACACATTAAAAAGCCACAACACGTTAAAAAGCCACAACACGTTAAAAAGCCACAACACATTAAAAAGCCACAACATTAAAAGCCACAACACATTAAAAGCCACAACACATAAAAAGCCACAACACATTAAAAAGCCACAACACGTCAAAAAGCCGCAACACATTAAAAGCCACAACACATTAAAAGCCACAACACATTAAAAAGCCACAAACGTCAAAAAGCGCAACACATTAAAAAGCCACAACACGTTAAAAAGCCACAACACATCAAAAAGCCACAACACATAAAAATAAAAAGCCACAACACATTAAAAAGCCACAACACATTAAAATAAAAAGCCACAACACATTAAAAAGCCACAACACATTAAAATAAAAAGCCACAACACGTTATAAAGCCATAACGGAAGTGACCGCGGGACTCTATTTACCGATCGAGCGGCAAGTGAAGAAGAAGAACTACAACGTGAAACGAATAATGATAAAACAATAAATTACTTTTACTTACGTTTCCAACTTCTCCGTTCCTTTACTTTTCACGTTGTAGTTCTTCTTCTTCACTTGCCGCTTGATCGGTCCGTCAGAAAATAGAGTCCCGCGGTCACTTCCGTTGTGGCTTTTTAATGTGTTGCGGCTTTTGCGTTTGTGTTGTGGCGTTTGTATTTGTTGTGGCGTTTGCATTAAAATAGAGTCCCGTGGTCATTTCCGTTGTGGCTTTTTTTGGTTTGTTGTGACTTTTTGTTGTGTTGTCGCATTTGTATTTGTTGCGGCGTTGTGACCCTCTCGGCTTCCGTACTTTATCCCTCTGACATTATCAAATACGACATTATCACAGTGTGTTTAGGTCCAGAGACACAAACAGCAGAAGGGAGACAGTGGCCACGTTTACACGATGTTTTTAAACTCTGAATTAATAGTTTTGAATTAAATAGTTCAGAAACAAAATTGAGGTTTACATGGAAAACACGTTCAATCGTTTTTATTTAATGTGTCTGAGCGTCTGGGGGTGGGGAAAGTTCTGACTTGGACAGAAACACCAAACGTATTTACGTCTTTGGAAGAAAACACACACTTCAGCTGCTCCTGGCTTTTCTGTCATCTCGGTTTGTCGTTCCTCCACGGACACAAACACCATCCAAACTTTTCCCGCAGTGGTTCCGATGATAATTGCGAAGCAGCAGCTGGAGAATTGTCTCATCACGCTTTACGTGTTAAGAAATACTGGTCAAACCTGGTCGAAATATGCAGGAAAAAAAAGGTATTTTATTAACAACAGTAGTCTTGGAGGGGGATAGGTTCCAGGGGAGGCAGGACAGGTCCAGGTCGGCTGCAGACGGGAGGTACGTGGTGACGGAGACTGACCAGAAGCTCACGGAACAGGTGGCAACGGGATGAGGCTCCAAACAGAAGAAAAAAAAGGAAACTGGTAAGTATCAAAGACTACGTTCAGACTGCAGCCTGACGTGACCCAAACCTGATTTTTTGGCCCCTATGTTCCTGTATCTGATCTTTTAATGTCAGTCTGAACGACACAGATCTGATTTTTTTCAAATGTGACCCAGGACACTTGGATATGTGCTCCTGAAACTGATACATATCTGATCTTTTGACATGTGACTTCAGTCTGAACGGCCAAAGTGCATTCATCCACCTACACGTCATCAACAAGACACAAATGTACTCAAATGTTCTTCTTGTCATACAAAAATTGTTAATGAACATCACCACTCACCTCTCTTGGCTCCGTCTCCACATCCACATGTTCCTTTCAACGGACTGAAACACCAAAAACACTCGTCCTTCTCCTTCTCAATCTCCTCCTTAAAACAAGTAAGTTGTTCATGTTCTGGCTACGAGAGGAACTTTAAAATCTCCAGGTGCTCGATGCTGCGTCCATGTTTGGACAACTTCCGTAAACACAGAGACGCTCGCTGCGGTTGACGTCGTCGTGTCTCCATCCAGTGTCACATTGGGCCGTTTAATGTTCACACTGGAGTCACATACAAGTCACATTTAACTGGAAATGTGAACGACCTCGAAAAAACATTGGATTTCACACAAAAAATCTGAATTGAGCGTTAAACCCTGCAGTCTGAACGTAGCCAAAATCTTCGGATTTCTCAAAAAAACCTGAAAAAGCCTGAGTAGTTCACCACTTCGATGACGGAACGATCTGGAACTGAAGAGCAGGTCAGCGGGTCTTTTATGGCAGGAGATGATTGATTGATGAGGATCAGGAGTGGAGCTCAGCAGGCGCGTGTTTGGGGATCCGCCCAGGAAACGCCAAACAAGGTAAGGAGAGAAGGGGAGCGGGAAAGGAGCGGGGAAAGGAGGAGTAGGAGGAGCAGGATGAAACCCTCACATCATCTGTGAGCTGAGGAGGAGAAGGGAAGAGTGTCGGAGAAGAAGGTGAGTGTGATGCTGCTCTACCTCAGCCCACTCCCACATCCCGCTCACAAATCCAAAGAGACGAGGATGAAACGTCCGAAGACACGACTGGTGGAGGTGGATCAAAACAAGCACTGAACGACCGGAATTATTTTTAAGAAGAATAAACGTTTACATGATCTGGGAATAAAATTTGGCTTTAAAATCGGACTAAACCGCCCACTTACTTTAATTAAGTTTAATCCCGAATAAACATTTTCATTAGGAATTAAGTGTTTACATGGTCTTTTTAAAGCGGAATTAATGTTCATTCAGAGTTAAATGATTTTTATTCTGAATTCAAGCTCATGTAAACCTGGCAACTGTCGTGCAAACCTTCTGATGAATTAAAGACGTGTCAGGGAACAAAAACTTGTTTGTTGCTGAAAATATTCACTTAGTGTTCAGTGTGTTTTCAGTTTTAAAACAACATTTTGCTCTGGAGGAGGTTTGAGGTGAACGAGGCTGGAATTCTGTTGGACTAAGAAATAAACAAAGTGCAGTTTTGACAACAACATTTATCATCCAGCTGAGAGTTTATCAGTGAGTAAAACAAAAACAGCTGCACTTGTGTCGCTTTTTGAAGCTCACATTTCGATACCGACCACAAAGTTTCTCCAGGGTTTGTGTTGGCGACTGTTACTTTTGCCGGTGAGGAAAAGGACAAAGAGAGAACAGTTTTGATATTCTGTCGTTTATTGGACAATGATTTTAATCTGATTCATGTTTTTGTCTCCTCTCTCCTTGTGTCCTCATCTCCTCTCTTCTCTCCTCTCCTCTCATCGTCTCCTCTTAACTCTCTCCTCTCCTTTCCTTCTCTCTCTCTCTGTATCTTCTCTCTTTGCTGTCCTCTCCTCCTTTCTCTTCCTCTCTTGTCTCCTTTCCTCCTCCTCCCTTTCCTCTCCTCCCTCCTCCTCTCCTCCTCTCCTTCTTTCCCTCTCTCCTCTCTCTCCTCCTCTCCTCCTCGTCTCCTCTCCTTGTCTCCTCCTCATCTCCTCTCTTCTCTCCTCTCCTCTCATCGTCTCCTCTTAACTCTCTCCTCTCCTTTCCTTCTCTCTCTCTGTGTCTTCTCTCTTTGCTGTCCTCTCCTCCTTTCTCTTCCTCTCTTGTCTCCTTTCCTCCTCCTCCCTTTCCTCTCCTCCCTCCTCCTCTCCTCTCCTCTGTCCTCGTCTCCTCCCCTCTCTCCTCTCCTCTGTCCTCGTCTCCTCCCCTCTCTCCTCTCCTCTGTCCTCATCTTCTTTTTTCCTCGTCTCCTCTCCTCCTTTCTCTTCCTCTCTTGTCTCCTTTCCTCCTCCTCCCTTTCCTCTCCTCCCTCCTCCTCTCCCCTCTCCTTTCCTTCCCTCTCTCCTTGTCTCCTTTCTCTCCCCTTCTCCCTCTCCTCTTCTCCTCCTTGTCTCCTCTCTTCTCCTCATCTCCTCCTCGTCTCCTCCTCGTCTCCTCTCCTTGTCTCCTCATCTCCTCTCTCTCTCCTCTCTCTCATCGTCTCCTCTTAACTCTCTCCTCTCCTTTCCTTCTCTCTCTCTCTGTGTCTTCTCTCTTTGCTGTCCTCTCCTCCTTTCTCTTCCTCTCTTCTCTCCTTTCCTTCTCCCCTCTCTCCTCTCCTCTTCTCCCCTCTCCTTTCGTTCTCTCTTTCTTTGTCTCCTCTCTTTGCTCTCCACTCTCCTCTCTTCCTTTCTTCTCTCCTCACCTCCTCTCTCCTCCTCTCCCCTCTCCTTTCCTTCCCTCCTCTCTCCCCTTCTCCCTCTCCTCCTCCTCTCTCCTTTCCTCCTTTCTCTTCCTCTCTTCTCTCCATTCTTCCTCCCCACACTCTTCTGTTCTTGTCTCCTCTCTCCTCGTCTCCTCCCCTCTCCTGTCTCCTTTTCTTCCCTCCTTTTCTCATTTCCTCTCCTCTCTCCCCTTCTCCCTCAACCCCTCCTCTCCCCTGTCCTCTCCTCTCTTCTCCCTTCTCTCTTCATCTCCTCTCCTCCTTTATATTCCTCTCTTCTCTCCTTTCCTGCTCCTCTCTCTCCTCTCTCCTTTCCTCTGTCCTCGTCTCCTTCTCTCTCCTCGTTTCCTCCTATCCTCCCTTCTTTCCTCTTCTCCTCTCTCCTCTCCTCTCCTTTCTCCTCATCTCCTCTCCTCCTTTCTCTTCTTCTCCTCCTTTCCTCCTTCCCTCTCTTCTCTCCTCATTTCCTCTCTCCTCCTCTCCCCTCTCCTTTCCTTCCCTCTCTCCTTGTCTCCTCTCTCCCCTTCTCCGTCTCCTCCTCTCTCCTCTTCTCCTCTTTCTCTCTCTCTCTCCTCTCTCCTTTCTCTTCCTTTCTCTCTCCTCCTCCTCTCTCTCCTCTCCTTTCTCTCCTCCTCTTCTCTCCTTTCTTCCTCCCCACTCTCTTCTGTTCTTGTCTCCTCTCTCCTCATCTCCTCCCCTCTCCTGTCTCCTTTTCTTCCCTCTCTCCTCGTCTCCTCCTTCTTCCCTCCTTTTCTCATTTCCTCTCCTCTCTCCCCTTCTCCCTCAACCCCTCCTCTCCTCTCCTTCCTCTCCTCTCCTCCTTTATATTCCTCTCTTCTCTCCTTTCCTGCTCCTCTCTCTCCTCCCTCCTTTCCTCTGTCCTCGTCTCCTTCTCTCTCCTCGTTTCCTCCTATCCTCCCTTCTTTCCTCTTCTCCTCTCTCCTCTCCTCTCCTTTCTCCTCATCTCCTCTCCTCCTTTCTCTTCTTCTCCTCCTTTCCTCCTTCCCTCTCTCCTCTCTTTTTTCCTTTGTCCTCATCTCCTCTCTCCTCTCCCCCTTTCCTTGCCTCTCTCCTTGTCTCCTCTCTCTCCCTTTCTCCCTCTCCTCCTCCTCTCCTCTCTCCTCTCCTCTGTCCTCGTCTCTTCTTCTCTCTCCTTCTCTCTCCTCGTCTCCTCCTCTCCCGTCCTTTCTCTTCCTCTCTTCTCTCCTTTCCTCCTCCTCTCTCTCCTCTCCTCTATCCTCGTCTCCTCTCTCCTCCTCTCCCTTCTCCCCTCTCCTTTGCTTCCCTCTCTCCTTATCTCCTTTCTCTCCCCTTCTCCCTCTCCTCCTCCTCTCCTCTCCTCCTTCCTCTTCCTCTCTTCTCTCCTTTCCTCCTCCCCTCTCTCCTCTCCTCGTCTCCTCTCCCCTCTCCTTTCCTTCCCTCTCTCCTTGTCTCCTCTCTTTCCTTCTCTTTTCATGTCCTCACCTCTCTCTCTCCCCTTCTCCCTCTACTCCTCCTCTCCTCCTTTTTCTTCCTCTCCTCCTTTCCTCCTCCCCTCTCTCCTCTCCTCTTCTCCTCTCTCCTTCTCTCTCCTCATCTCCTCCTGTCCTCCCCTCTTTCCTCTTTCCCCTCTCCTCTCCTCTCTCCTCTCCTCTGTCCTCGTCTCCTCCCCTCTCTCCTCTCCTCTGTCCTCATCTTCTTTTTTCCTCGTCTCCTCTCCTCCTTTCTCTTCCTCTCTTGTCTCCTTTCCTCCTCCTCCCTTTCCTCTCCTCTCTCCTCCTCTCCCCTCTCCTTTCCTTCCCTCTCTCCTTGTCTCCTTTCTCTCCCCTTCTCCCTCTCCTCTTCTCCTCCTTGTCTCCTCTCCTCTCCTCTTCACCTCTCTCCTTCTCTCTCCTCATCTCCTCCTGTCCTCCCCTCTTTCCTCTTTCCTCTTTCCCCTCTCCTCTCCTCGTCTCTCTCCTCCTTTCTCTCCTCTCTTGTCTCCTTTCCTCCTCCTCCCTTCCTCTCCTCCTCCTCCTCTCCCCTCTCCTTCCTTCCCTCTCTCCTTGTCTCCTTCTCTCCCCTTCTCCCTCTCCTTCTCCTCCTTGTCTCCTCTCTTCTCCTCGTCTCCTCCTCGTCTCCTCCTCATCTCCTCTCCTTGTCTCCCTCCTTGTCTCCTCTCGTCTCCTCTCCTCGTCTCCTCCTCGTCTCCTCGTCTCCTCTCCTTGTCTCCTCCTCATCTCCTCTCCTCGTCTCTTCTCGTCTCCTCTCCTCGTCTCCTCCTCGTCTCCTCCTCCTCGTCTCCTCCTCGTCTCCTCCTCGTCTCCTCCTCGTCTCCTTATCTCCTCTCCTCCTCTAGTGTCCTACGCGTCAGAGAAGTGTTCGGTCTTGACTCAGGAGTTGTTCGCGTCTTGTCACGAGCACGTCAGTCCAGGTCCGTTCCTTCTCCAGTGTCGCTCTGACGCTTGTAAATGTGGAGCTCCGTGTTTCTGCTCGTCTTTGGCTCATTACGCTCGTCACTGTCGCCAACACGGAGTCCTCGTCCACTTCAGAGCTCCACATCCCCGAGTGCGGTAAGTCTCTCTCACTACTACTTCAACTACGACTTCACGATCTGTTCAAAGTAGTGCTGTGTAGTTAATAATATTTTAAGCAGCCAGTCCCTCCTACATTCTTTTTGAAACCACAAGGGTCTGAAACTGGACCATAGAGTGTGAGAAACATCTGACCTCAAGTCCGTCGCACACTACAGGAGAATTTGCACGATTTTGGCTGCGATTTTGCTTCTCCCAGTTCAAGCTGCTCCTCGTGTCAGTGTGACTCTGAGCTGCTCTGTCAGATCATAACTAAATACAGTCTAATACATCACTCACAACAATAAAACCCGTTGAATCACTCCATAAACAAGCTCTAAAAACACTCGACAAAAAACACTGCAGATGCCCCCATTGCCACATTTTGCAGAAAAACAAATGAATGACCTGGGACAATCTTATTAATTTTAAAAATATCTGTCTAATGTACAAGATTAAACATGGCTCGGCCTAGGGGTGGGCGATATCTTGATATTTTAAATAGGGGTGTCAAATTATCGCGTTAATTGCGATTAATTAATTACAGTCATATTTAGCGCGTTATGTTTTTTAATCGCGTTAATCTCATTTTTAATCTCTAACTTTACTGTTTCTGTATGTGAGTTGCTTTATTATAAAACCTGTTTTTATGTGTTGTTGGGACAACAACACACACACACACAAAAACACATTTATACATTTTTTTATTTCGGTAATTCCACTCATTGTCGGAAACCCACACAAAACGCGCGCAGTAAAAGCGATGCAAACGTCACATTGGCGGCGTCAGTCGCACAATGGACGAGGTCGAACAGCCAGTAGAACAGAGCAGCAGTGCACAGGTAAAAACACATTCGTGTTTTGGAAATTATTCTCCCGACGTGAAATATAAAAGAAAATAACAAATATAATATCGCCTACAACTTAAATGTCACTGGTGAAAACAACCTGCATAGACTCATGACACACACAAACACAAACACACACACACAAACACACACCTTCATCATCGTCATCAACCTAAGAACGCGCGGACCATGTCTCCTTCCGTAGTTACTGTGTGGACACTGACCTGCTCCCGTGAGCCGCGTGTGGATCGTGTTTTCTCGCGTACGCGGCGTAAACCGAGCTTCCTCCTGTGCGCCTCTAAACCAGAACTAACACCAAGACTAAAACCAGGACTAAACCAGGTCTAAACCAGAACTAAAACCAGAACTAAAACCAGGTCTAAACCAGGACTAAACCAGGACTAAACCAGAACTAAAACCAGAACTAAAACCAGGTCTAAACCAGAACTAACCCTTTCCAGGACTAAACTAGGACTAAAGTAGGTCTAAACCAGGTCTAAACCAGGACTAAACCAGGACTAAAACCAGTGATCTCATATATAAAGCATTTCTCTATCAATAATATTTTTAATATGGTTAAGGAAAGACTGGACTTTTTATTGTCTTTAAGTCGACAAAAGTTATTATGTTCAGATTTCCTCGTCTTTACTTTACAACAAACAGTTTCTTATTCATGGAGACTTGGGCTCAACAGCCAATTTGGAGAGATTTGTTAAACAATAAATGACTTTATAAAGTCACTTTTTTTAATCTATATCAGTGTTTTGATCTGCCACAATAATGTAATAATGAATTTAAATGAAAATACCTCAAATTTAAGGCTTTTCTCAGCAATTTTTAGGTGAGATTAAAATGAGATTAATTAGATTAATTAATTACAGATCATAATTAATTAATCTCTAAATTTTTTTAATCGCATGACAGCACTAATTTTAAATATATCGAGCTAGTTTTTAAACTCGATATGAATTCTGAAATATCGTATATATCGATATAATTATATTCAATTTTGATTTCGCCGCTTCGCTTGTTTATCTTCTCTCTCGTCGCCTCCGCCTCCCTGATTTTGCTGCTCGTGTCTCCTTCACTCGTCACTGTCGCACTGTGAACGCCGAAAGTTGGTGCCAGTGAAAAGCTTCAAGCACCACAAACCTTTTCCACCATTTACAGACAAAACCATCAGCAGCAGCTCATCCTCATGTTCCACCGAGTCGCGTCCTTTAGTCCGAAAAAAGCTGACGAGCAGAGCTGCAGGAGAAGTGCTGTTTATGCAAATGAGACATGCGCTTAAGTTTCGTTTCTGTAAAATGTAAACACACGTGCACAAAACTGTATTAAACACATTATTATCTCAAACGGGCTGATGTGGCTCTAGAGTCGTTATGTTTTATATATTGTAAATTCTATTTATGCAGAAGATTTTAATTAATAAGTTTATGATAATGAGTTTTATTTATTTATTTATAAGGGAAGCCCCTAGAAATGTAACATCTCGTTTGCGAGGGGGTCCTAAACCCATGAACAAAAATAGCATTTACAGAAAAGAAAGAAAGAACAAAACAAAACAAAAGACAAACACAGCACAAAAACAACATTCACACTATAAAATACACGATCCTTAGATATACACACATACTCTGATTCATCTATGTTCATGAATTATTTAAGAAAAAAAGCAACTCTATGTACAACAGAAAGTACATAGAACAAAAATGTATTTTTATGGAAAACAGGAGCAGGATGTTTGTAAATATCTGAAGACTGACACCTTAAACTGGTGGATCGATGTAATTGATCAGATTGACGAGGGCGAGTTGTTCCGTTCATTTGGGGCTTTGAAGTTAAATATTAAATGTTAAATAGTTCCTCAACCCAAAACATGCTCCAGGTCTCCAAGAACAGTTGATAGTCAAGGTCAGTTAAATAGAATCAATCAATGAATCTAACACTGATGCTACAACCTGATGTACAGTGCATCTCTCCTGTTAAGGTTAATGCAAAAATTGTGCACTGTCCCTGTCTCAAATAAATAAATAAATAAATGTGTGTCTGTCCACTACGGAAGAATTAACGATCGATTATCGATTAATCATTAACGTTTTTATATTAAAATGATCATCATTATTATTACTATCTGCACTAATCTGCATAAATAAATTCAACTTTACGACATATAAACATAACGACTCTAGAGCCACATCAGCTGTTTGACATTATAATGTGTTTAATTCAGTTTTGTTCAAATCTCACAGAAACAAAACTTAAAACCACATCACTAATTTACATAAACTAAGTGAAGATAAAACTCCAGCTCTTGTGTCGCTGATGTGGTTCAACTTGTGTTGGATTAAAAGACATGACTCAGGTGAATACAGGTCAGTGTGACCAGATTTGTGTTTGTCAAAACCAGGACAGCGTACGGGGGGAGGGGGGCGGGGCCTCGTCATCCACATTGAGCGACTCTCACCTGGAAAAACTTTTTCCCACTGGACACAGAAACATATGTGCTGCTTTATCCACTGTGCACATGGACTCACACTTGTCCCAACGCAACGGAAAGTGTGGAATTTCTTCTACAAATCCTGGTTAAATCCACATTTGTGCTTCGGTTCGTTACAGACTGACCCACTGTTTGTGTCTCGCTCCTTCTGATGCAGAGACACATGTACACACCTGTTTGCTCACGATACACACAGCAACCTACATTCGGTTTGTCGTTTAAAATGAACGTAATCGATGAAATTTTAATGATCAATTATTGATTAATTGATTAATCATGCCCATCCCTACTGTCCACACAGTGCACGGATCGAGGTGAAGTTGCAGATTAACTCCAGTGACTTTACTTCCTGTGTATTTTATCACCAACCTTCTGTGTAAATAATAATAATAACACAGTTTTGACTTGTATCTAAACTAGAAGTGCAGAGTCTGATCTTTGAACACTTAAGATTCTCAGAGGAAACAGGAAACAGCTGACGCCATCACACTCACAGTTTTATATCCTGTGGTCCACAGACAGTCCCGCTGCAGTCTTTGTGATCAGAGATTTTAAATCTCATCAGATTCTCCTCGTGTCTGTGGTGTGCACTTTTTGTCGCACATTTAAAAATCGTTTAAGATTAAAAAAAATCCTGTCGTGTGTGGCTTAACTTGAGACAGTCCAATCATAGATGCTCATTTGTATCAGCCGTCTCCATACGACCTCTCCTCTTATATGACCAGTGTTGGGGAGTAACAGATTACATGTACTGGAGTTATGTAATCAGAGTACAAATGATGAGTAACTGTATTTAGTTACAGTTACTGTTTCAGTGAGTGGTAATTGGATTACAGTTACTTTGTTGAAATAAGTGGATTACACGAGGGTATTTTACTGTTTTCACATTTTGGGCTATATCACTTCTTTTTTTTTTTTTTTTTTTTTATTTATCTTGGTAATTCCACTCATTGCTGGAAACCTGAACAGAACAAACACACCTAAACATCTTGTTCATGTTGGTGGTGTCGGTCACACAATGAACGAGGTTGTTAATAATCATCATTGTTAATAATCTGATTCTGCATCATTTGAATAAAAAACATCAAATATTTCAGATTTTTACTGAGCTGGCACCTTTATGTTTGTGCTGAAAGTGATTTTTGTTTTATTTTTTTTTAAATAAACAATATGACACCTAACAGTAGGTGGACATTTTTTAAAGCAGCAGTGATCTCATATAAAAATCATTTCTCTATCAATAATATTTTTAATCTGGTTAAGGAAAGACTGGGCTTTTTATTGTCTTTAACCTGACAAAACCTCTTATGTTCAGATTTCCTCGTCTTTGCTTCTCCACAGCAAACAAATGTCTGTCCATGGAGACTTTTTTGAAGAAAAAAGAGACAATTTGAAGAAAACAAACATGAATTTTCAGGATGTGGTTGTTACATTCATGTAGTTTTAAAAACCATGACAATATCAAGTAATCCAAAGTATTCAGATTACATTACTCACCTAAAGTAACTTAATGTATTCCGTTACAAACTACATTTTGGGGTATGTAATCTGTAATCTGTAGGGGAATACATTTTAAAAGTCACCTTCCCAACACTGTGTATGACTTCTTTTACCTGAGTGAAATAAGACTTTAATGCTTCAGTTGTTGATTCTGCAGAAATCAGCTGTTTCTCTGTCCTCCACTTTTTTTTTTTTTTCCTAACCCAAACAAACCTCTCTGATTGGTTAATCCACCTGTCAGTCACTCCCTCTGAAATCAGGGACACAGGACAGGGCTTCGGATCCACTCGTCTTTGTAAAGTTTTGTTAAAGCGTGTGGTTCTGGCTGGTCAGGGACAGTTTAAAGGTAAACTGCCATTATAGCCCCAACTGCCCTGGGAGTGTCTGGCCTAAGGACACAACAACAGTGTGCAGTTTAGATTCTGGCAGAGACTAGAGTCAGTGCTGCTTCACTGGCAACATCGGGGTTTTCCTGGTCTGAAGTGCTCTGTGTCCCATGAGCGGCTCTGCACATTTCTCTGATCTGATCAAGATTTTAAAACTTATATCAGGTTAAACATCTTGTTTTCAGATTTATTATTTATTTATGAGTTATTAGAATTGGATTAATTCTAGTCTAGAGGCCGTTTATTCTAAGACAACTTGTCTATTAAAATGATCTCGCTGCATGGACAAATCATTTCTACTTTTAAGTCATTTTCTGATGGATTTAAGTGTTTATATTTTTTGGCCAAGCTTTTTTGCAGTTTGAAAGGTGTTTTAGTCCTGGGTTAGACCTGGTTTAGTCCTGGTTTAGTCCTGAGTTAGACCTGTTTTAGTCCTGAGTTAGACCTGGTTTAGTCCTGGGTTAGACCTGGTTTAGTCCTGGGTTAGACCTGCTTTAGTCCTGTTTTAGTCCTGAGTTAGACCTGGTTTAGTCCTGAGTTAGTGGTTTAGTCCTGAGTTAGACCTGGTTTAGTCCTGGGTTAGACCTGCTTTAGTCCTGAGTTAGACCTGGTTTAGTCCTGGGTTAGTCCTGTTTTAGTCCTGGGTTAGACCTGGTTTAGTCCTGAGTTAGACCTGGCTTAGTCCTGGGTTAGACCTGGTTTAGTCCTGGGTTAGACCTGCTTTAGTCCAGAGTTAGACCTGGTTTAGTCCTGATTTAGACCTGCTTTAGTCCTGGTTTAGTCCTGGGTTAGACCTGGTTTAGTCCTGGTTTAGTCCGGGGTTAGACCTGGTTTAGTCCTGGGTTAGACCTGCTTTAGTCCTGAGTTAGACCTGTTTTAGTCCTGAGTTAGACCTGGTTTAGTCCTGGGTTAGACCTGGTTTAGTCCTGGGTTAGACCTGGTTTAGTCCTGAGTTAGACCTGGTTTAGTCCTGGGTTAGACCTGGTTTAGTCCTGGTTTAGTCCTGGGTTAGACCTGGTTTAGTCCTGAGTTAGACCTGTTTTAGTCCTGAGTTAGACCTGGTTTAGTCCTGGGTTAGACCTGGTTTAGTCCTGGGTTAGACCTGCTTTAGTCCTGGTTTAGTCCTGGGTTAGACCTGTTTAGTCCTGTTAGACCTGGTTTTAGTCCTGAGTTAGACCTGGTTTAGTCCTGGGTTAGACCTGCTTTAGTCCTGGGTTAGTCCTGGTTTAGTCCTGGGTTAGACCTGCTTTAGTCCTGT